AACACCACCAGCCTGAAGGATGTCGGCAGCAGAGGCGCGCACCCAGGTAGCTAAAGCTAGCTGCAGGCTACCACCACACGCGTCGAGGGATCGCCGGATTCCGGCGATGCCTCCGCCGTTTGTGTGCACCTTGCAACCATAGCTTTAGCTACCCGGGGGCGCACCGTCACGGGCAAAAAACTGCGTAAATACCAGCGTTTCAGCGGCCAAACACCGCTATTTACAGTGTTTTGTGCCTTCCACGTTTTCTTGACATTCCAAAAACGGTGTACATACCAGCATCTTTTGCGATCAACCTACCAAAAAAATGTAATTAATTTAGAATGTTTTTTGTTGCCTTGCCTTCAAAACATTGGTATTTATTTGCAATGCTTTGTGCATCTCCAGAACACAGGGAGGCGAAGCATGCTGGCATGGCGTCCTCAGGAGATTCATCAGAAGGTTTCACCGCTCTGTAAGAGACAGCCCTCGATCGCTAACGTCTTTCTGAATCCGGTAGAAGAATAGCTTTTGGAGCCAAGGAAGCAGCTCGTAACGAGGTGGCTCCGCCACGCCGGAACACCACCCCTGAAAGTTTCATCGGGCTCTGCCGGAGACACTCGATCTCTAACGTCGCTTTTTGAACCCGGTAGAAAAAGATAGCTTTGGATCCAAGGAAGCAGCCTGAAGCAGCTGGCAAGGAAGGGGCTCCGCCATGCCGGAACACCAATAGCTTTGCAGCAAAAGCAAGCAGCTTGCAAGGAGGTGGCTCCGCCACGCCGGAACACCACCCCTGAAGGTTTCATCGGGCTCTGCCGGAGACACTGGATCTCTAACGTCGCTTTTTGAACCCGGTAGAAAATATAGCTTTGGATCCAAGGAAGCAGCCGCCATGCCGGAACACCAATAGCTTTGGAGCAAAAGCAAGCAGCTTGCAAGGAGGTGGCTCCGCCACGCCGAAACACCACCCAGCCCAGCTGAAGTTTTCACCGGGCTCTGTGCGAGACAGCCCTCAATCTCTAACGTCGCTTTCTGAAACCGGTAGAAAACCAGCATAGCTTTGGAGCCAGGGAAGCAGCTCCCATTAATCCAGACAGTCCAGAATCACGCATCAAGCCCTGCACCGCGTTCATATTTTCCGCCAATCCCCTCCACTTCTAAGATTTCTAAGTCATCCCTTACATTCTTTTTACCAGCGTTTCACCATTGTCGAACTCAAACGCTTCTCCTCCCCCAGCATGAAACAATGGTATGACACCACCAGATATATTCATCTCCTCCTCCCAATTGCAGAAAAACAGAAAACAATAGACAGGGCCTATATCTTTTTACCACATTCATGAAATAAGCAGCCAGCTTAGGGCACGCTGCTGCGCACGTGTGGTTCAGTTGAGCGGCCGGTCGCTTGTGAAAAAAAATGCTGCTATACATGTACACATCCCCATGTACGTAAAAAATATATATACATATATATATATATATGTATATATACACACATATGTATACATATATGGGTGCAGTCCATGTAAATCCTTTTTACCGGGCTTTAATTATCATGTTTTGCGAGGGAGGGTTATTTATTCTAGTTTTTTTTTGAGCAGGCTTCGGATTGTTTTCTAGATTCCTGCTTTTCTGCGGTTCCTGCTTCTCTGCTTTTCCGCTTTTTGGTTTTTTCTGCTTCTCTGCTTTTCTGCATTATTGTTTTTCTTGTTTTTCCGTTTTATTTGTGTGTCCTGCTTCTTTGCTTTTCTGCTTCTCTGATTTTCTTGCTTCTCTCTTGCATGCTTCTCTGCTTTTCCGCTTGTTGCTTTTCCTGCTTTTGTCTTTTTTTGTTGCTTCTGCGCCTTTCTACTTCTACTTTCTCTCTTTTTCTGCAGTCATGAGTTTTTGCTGCTGTACGTTTTCCTGCTTCTCTGCTTCTCTGCTTCCTTTCTTTACCCCGTCTCTTTGCTTTTCATTTTCGTTTGCTTAATTTTCTCCGGTTTAACTTTAGAAAACCTTAGACTAATTAACCCAGAGGGGCACCCTAGTAAGAAACCTTAAATGAAACCCTCAAGGTCCATGACGCGCTAAAGAAACCATAAGTGAAGACCTCAAGAGACCCTAAAGACACCCTAAATGAAACCCGCAAGACACCCTTAGACACCCTTAATGAAACCCTCAAGAAAGCCTAGCCGAACCCCCAAAGACACCTAAAGATACCTTAAATGACACCCGAAAAAAAAAACAAAATGACACGCCAAAGAAACCCTAAACGAAACGTTAAACGACGCCCTACATGAAACCCTAAAGAAACCCTAAATGAAACCCTAAAGAAACCCTAAATGAAGCACTAAGGGCATTTTAAAATATTCTAAATGCCCCCCAAGAGAAACCAACATGAACGCTTGAAGTACCAGCATGTAGCAAATACCACGCAAAATGAGAGGCCATGAAGGTTTGAAGTACCAACATGTAGCAAATACCATACAAAAATTAGAGGCTGAAGCCAAAATGCAGCAAATACATGCAAAATGACAGGTTCTAGTTCCAAACTGTTGCAAATACAGGGCAAATGGTACCTGGAAAGAAAACAAATCCCAAACTTTATCAAAAACAACCTAAGCAGATTCTTCACCCCTTTGTAAGCACTAATAGCATTCGTGGTGAACTTCCTTGGAATGGGCTGCATTTGGAAAGGGCCCCGCTGAAGGACTTGATCGTACTCTTTCGATATGTATACATCAATATATATATATATAAATATATACACATACATGTAAATATGTATATGTGTATATATGTATGTATACATGTATATTTGTATATATGTATATATGTAAATATGTATGTATGTATGTATGTATGTATGTATGTATGTATGTATGTATGTATGTATGTATCAAATGTATGTATGTATCAAATGTATGTATGTATGTATGTATGTATGTATGTAATTTAATGTACGTAATGTAATGTATGTAATGTAATGTATGTAATGCAATGTAATGTAATGCAATGTAGTGTAATGTAATGTAATGAAATGTAATGTAATGTAATGCAGTGTGTTGTAATGTAATGTAATGTATGTAATGTATGTAATGTATGTAATGTATGTAATGTAATGTAATGTAATGCAGTGTAATGTAATGTAATGTAATGTATGTAATGTATGTAATGTATGTCATGTGTGTAATGTATGTAATGTATGTAATGTATGTAATGTATGTAATGTATGTAATGTATGTAATGTAATGTAATGTAATGCAATGTAATGTAATGTAGTGTAATGTATGTAATGTATGTAATGTGTGTAATGTGTTTAATGTGTGTAATGTGTGTACTGTATGTAATGTATGTAATGAATGTAATGCAATTTAATGTAATGCAATTTAATGTAATGTAATGTATGTAATGTAATGTAATGTCATGTTATGTCATGTCATGTCATGTAATGCAATGCAATGTAATGTAATGTAATGTAATGCATGTAATGTAATGTAATGTATGTTTGTATGAAGGCATGTAATGTATGTATGTATGTATGCATTTATACATGTATGCATGTATTGTATGCATGTATGCATGTGTGCATGTATGCATGTATGCAATGTATGTATGCAAATGTATGTATGTATATATGTATGTATGTAATGTGTGTAATGTGTGTAAAATGTGTAATGTGTGTAATGTCTGTAATGTGTGTAATGTATGTAATGTATGTAATGTATGTAATGTAATGTAATGTGATGTAATGTAATGTAATGTAATGTAATGTATGTATGTATGTATGTATGTATGTAATGTATGTATGTATGTAATGTAATGTAATGTATGTAATGTAATGTTTGTAATGTAATGTCTGTAATGTAATGCATGTAGTGTAATGTATGTAATGTAATGTATGTAATGTATGTGATGTAATGTATGTAATGTAATGTATGTATGTAATGTATGTAATGTATGTAATGTATGTAATGTATGTAATGTATGTAATGCATGTAATGTATGTAATGTATGTAATGTATGTAATGTATGTAATGTAGTGTATTGTAATTCTTGTAATTCTTTCAACGTATGTAACGAATGTAACGTATTCAACGTATGTAACGTATGTAACGTATGTAATGTATGTAATGTATGTAATGTATGTAATGTATGTAATGTATGTAATGCATGTCATGAATGTAATGCATGTAATGCATGTAATGCATGTAATGCATGGAATATATGTAATGTATGTAATGTTTGTAATTTATGTAATGTATGTAATGTATGTAATGTATGTAATGTATGTAATGTATGTAATGTATGTAATGTATGTAATGTGTGTAATGTGTGTAATGTGTGTAATGCGCGTAATGAATGTAATGTATGTAATGTAAGTAATGTAATGTGATGTGATGTGATGTGATGTGATGCAATGTTTGTAATGCAATGTAATGTGATTTAATGTAATGTAGCGTAACGTAATGTAATGTATGTTTGTATGTAGGCATGTAATGTATGTATGTATGTATCTATGTATGTATGTATTTTGTATGTATGTATGTATGTATGTAGGTAATGAGTGTAATGAATATAATGAATGTAATGTAATGTATGTAATGTATGTAATGTATGTAATGTATGTAATGCATGTAATGTATGTAATGCATGTAATGTATGTAATGTATGTAATGTGTGTAATGTGTGTAATGTGTGTAAAATGTGTAATGTGTGTAATGTCTGTAATGTGTGTAATGTATGTAATGTATGTAATGCAATGTAATGTAATGTAATGTAATGTGATGCAATGTAATGTAATGTAATGTAATGTGATGTATTGTAATGTAATGTAACGTAACGTATCGTAACGTATCGTAACGTAATGTAAGGAAGTATGTATTTATGTATGTATGTATGTATGTATATATGTATGTATGTATGTATGTATGTAATGTATGTATGTATGTATGTATGTATGTATGTATGCATACAAATACAAATACATATACATATACCTTTATTTTTACATATGCGATTACATACACATATACATATACATATATATAACTAATATACATATACATACATAGATATATTTAAAGCTAATATGCATATACATATACATTTACATATAAAAATATTTATCACCAATATAGTGTAAAAATAATGTAATTTAATATCGCAAATTACACTACATTTTATTGCATGATATTTTCTTAACATATTTTACTTTGATTTATTTTGTGTTGTATTTTATCTTGTATATACGTACATATTTGGGAGTAGGGTGTGCGGTGTGCACATTAGGATGTTTTCCTATATCCTTTCTGTGTTTCTGCTGTCTTCCTTGAAGCACGGGACCAGGAGCTACAGGAGCTCATCCTGCAGCGCCAGAAGTCAACCATGGAGTTTTCCCAACGACTTCAGAAACAGATCGGCGCCTTGACTATGATTGTGACATACTGTGACTTTGACTCTGGGATTTTTTGGGAGATAATCGCTGGGGATGCTCCTGCAGGAAACTTTCATTCATTTTCATTCTTCGATTGTCCCAGACTCCGCCGCACCGACGCCTCTCCCTTTATAAACAAGCCGTGTATCTAGGCAACCTCAAACAACTGAAGCTTGACGCATTTGGGCTGAGTGACGAGTTTGAGGTTCTTTGGTATTCTTTCCATTCAGCTGCGTCTCTAAGTTGTCGTCTTTGGCCAAGGTGACGGTCGACGCAGCAAAGTCATGCCAGCTCACGTTCAGAGCCGTTCAACATCGATCATGCATGGACTCACGGAGAGCACTCCTTTATTAAATTTGAACTGGGTTTGCAAAGGCTGAAACGAAACAAAAACATGTGGTTTGCGTAAAAACATGAACTATATTGAACAGTAACCTGAGCTAGTCAAGCCGAACACAGAAAACCTGATCATGAGCCGGATTTGACCTTCTCTTGCAGGACGTGATCTATCATAAGCGACATAGTGAATGATGCTGTGGATCTGGCACGCTTTGGATCGATCTCTCCTTGCACCATATGTGGCCAGGCGCCCACTGCGCAGATTAATGCCCTGATCACACTGCAGCCGGCTGTGCGAGTAGTGCAGGCATTTTGTTGCGGAACGGTTGAGCATAAAATCACGCACTTTCTATCACTTTCTCATCAACTGTGATAAAAGAGTCCAGCGCAAGAGGCTTCTGGATGTTTGGATGCACCCATGTACATACGTGTGCAGTAAATATATGTAAAATAAAATTGATTTGATCGAATATGTGCTATATGTATTGATGTGTCACTTCGACTATCTTCCACTTTTATTCTCGATGGTTACGTTTTCCATTTTCATTTGTTTTTCCTATTGCGCGAACAACGGCGAAACTTCTATGATCTCCGGGTCTCTTGGGATCTCTGGGTTCAAGGCTCGGCTTGCCACTGAGCTGCGGAAGGCGCCCCGAAGTACAACAAGTCCACTGTGTTTCGGCATGTTTCGACATGTTTAATCCGTGAATACTAACCTCGGTACTACGCATATACATATTGATATATATATATAATATGTATATATATAATATGTATATATATATTTAATAAATATTGAGCGAAGGCTGCACTTTGACATGTTGCACGCACTTGTGTTCACATGGTGTGTGCATTTTAAACCCTCGGTGGAGACAGGTGAAGACTGAGTTGCTGAAGTCGTCCTCCAAATCTTCGATCCAGGTGAAAGTTGAGCCAGACGCCCCGAAAGCAACGCAACAGCCGGCACGACCGCAACCAGGGAAGCCACAGCCACCTGCACACCCGCCACATGCGCAGCATGCGCAGCATGCGCAACATGCACCAGGGCATACAGGGAAGCCAGGGAAGCCACCTCTTTCCCAGGGGAAGCCACCCATAAAACAAGGGAAACCACCAGAACCAGAAAAACCACCAGAACCGGAGAATCCACCACCTGATCAGGCAGCACGGGGAATTGATGTGCCAAGAGGTGAAGATGTGAAACAGAATGTGAGTCTTGATGATTTCAAATTTCCCCATTTGAAACCAGTGCAGCCTTGTGAACTTGGCTGACTTTTGCTACTACTGAAGCTATGGGCCATGCCAATGGCCATGGTTGCCCGATCAGGAACCTGATCTTTCCGCAGCTGATATCGTCGTCCGAGATTTTGAGGACCCTTTTTTTCCAGCAACCCTGCTTGACTCCTGACGGCGGCAATTCAGGACAATATAAAGCAATATTAAATGGGGGCCCATACGATTGTTCCGTGTCCTGCAATCTTGGCAACAAACCTGAAATGAAATGAAATGAAATGATTGAATGAAATGAATGAAATGAATGAAATGAGTGAAATGAGTGAAATGAATGAAATGAGTGAAATGAATGAAATGAATGAAATGAATGAAATGAATGAAATGAATGAAATGAATGAAATGAAATGAATGAATGACTCCTTCGGCGACCCCAGGGGCCACTTTACCCAGAAAAAACACAGGGTTTCTCGCTGGCAGTGTTTTCGGGAATTCACTTTCTCGAATTGTTACTCTTCTCTTCTTCTCCCGCACGCGAACTGCTCTTGCTCAGTATGCTGACTTAAGGATGGCATGATGACAAGATTCGGCATTCGTCCGTAAGTCAGATATTTTCGAATTGATTTTATATAAACTTCCTTTGATGGGTATACAAAAATCTTTACAGAAAATTCTGAATCACTACCAGCCTTGACCGTTCTGACCACACATGACATTGCATCGGGTCAAATGACATCCCGTCACGTCACTTGTGAGAGGACTCCGTGGGGTCGATCTTGGAGATGGCTGTGCCTTGGACACAAATCACGAAAAACACGGGTCGGGTCAAGTCGGGTCCGCAAACAGAAAGTCCACTCCTGCAAGAAGGACCACTTCCCGCTGCACCGATTTTAAGTGGTCCTGATGCGACTGTCGTATCACAAGGTGCCAAGCAGATGTGCCAAGTACCAAGGAGCCTTTGCTGCAGGATTGCATTGGAGATGCGTCTGCTGTGGAGGAGGCCGGTGAAACGCAGCGAAACAATGAAACCGTGCCAAAATACGTAATGAAATATTGTTCAAAGATGTCAACTGATGTCAATTGTTTGTTGCAACTGAGTGGCGTGATGCAGCAAATGTGGAGATTGGGGATATTTTGGGATAAAACATAATAAACCGCGTTCAACGAATTTTAAAACATCCTCAAGAGTCTTGAAGAGTTTTCAAACCTCTCTGCAGGTGGAGACTTCTGCAAGAGATCTGGAGAAGCAAATCCCTTCGTTGCGATCTCGTGTGTCGGAGCTCACACAGGCAAGTGATTGACAGCAATAGACTGGATAGATGGATACAATTGACTATGTCCTATGTTTGCCTCTGATACAAATTACATACCAGTTTTTTTTATGATTTCACATGTACGTCGTGCGTGATGCGTCGATGCGGAATCCACCGTGAGTCCCTTTGGCGGTCTTCTGCGTGCTGGGAGGTGACTACGGGCATCCCAGTGCAGCTGCGTGGTGGGCCCAGAAGGGTTCTGTGAATTCTTTGTTGGCCCGAAAAGTTGTCAAGATCTTGCCAAGATGCCCATTTCCCTTTTGAAAGAAAGTTTTCCTGGCGGATTCATCACGCTACTAGTATAGTACTTGCTTTCCGGCATTTTTTAATATTTTAAAGAACTTTCCGTGGCGCTCCCTGCATTTTGCATTCCCGCTGTGTTTGATTCCAGGTTGTGACCTTGGCTGAGGTTCCAAGTGCATACAGGGTGCCCAGAAGATGCAAACGCGCCTCACGGAGGTTGCATGTTGCAACGGTTTCACTCGGAGCCGCAATCGGAAAACATTGGGAATAACAAAAGGGGAATGGTTTGGAAACTTCAGATGACAAAACATGCAACACTAGGTGCATCTAGGTACCTGATGTGCCTGTTTGGATTTATTTGACTCGTGAAAGCTGGTGAAAGCATTGCTGCATCAGCACCTTCACGAGCAGCTTGAATACACTTTGTTACATGTTTTTCTCGATATTTCAGCTCTGTATGCTCTATAGGGATCTCACAGGCGACCAAGAAACTGGCGCCGCTGAAAAACTTCAAGGCTCATTTCAAGGAGAGGATGCTGGAAAATCACAGGTCACAGGGATCGGGTGAGATAACAAAGAACATTTGGCACTTAATGTACGACAATGAGGTGCAACTGTGATATAGTTTGAATATGTTTGAAGATATTGAAAATGTTTGAATTAGAGTGATATACAGAAACATATATATAATATATATATAATATATATATTATATATATTATATATATAATATATATATATAATATATATATAATATATATATATATATATTATATATATATTATATATAATATATATGTATATTATAAATATATATAATATATATAATATATATATATAATATATATATATTATATATATATATTATATATACTGAAATCATCTGCATCTGAAATCTGTGTCTCTCACATTTTCTCACATTTTCTTTTAGATTGTGATTTCTCGAACTCGTTGCATTTTCATGTTGCAACATGTATCAACATCCTACTGTTTTCTCGTCATCTCGGATCATCTCGGCGCAGGAGAGATCTGAGGCCAAGAAGGAAACGGAGAGTCTTCAGACCTCCTTGAGCGAAGTAGAGCTCGAGGCGGCTCTGATTGGTGCGTACAAAAAGAAAACACTCAATTGATGTTTGTAGTATATATATAACATATATATATAGTATTATATAGTATTATATAGTATATAATTTACATATTATGTATAACATATATAATATATACTTTATATATTATACATTATATATATGGTACATTATATATATAATTCTATATATCATATTATGTCATATTGTATTGAAAATTTATATTATATCTTATACTATTATATTATATTAAATCAAATTATTCTGTATTATTATATTATATCATATTATTTTTATATTTTATCATATTATATTTATTATTTCATATTATATTATTTTATACATTTTATGTTCTTATTTTTTTACTGTCTACATTATATTATATCTTTGTTTAATTTTATATATCAACTATATTATATATTGTATTTTTTATATTATATTTATTATATATTAAATATTTTCTATTATATATAAATCATATAGTATATATGTTATATTAGATATTATGAATTAAATGCTATATATTTTATATTATATATATTTGTTTTATTATATATTATGAATTAAATATTATATATTATACTATATATTAAATATTTTTTGAAATGTATTTTGTATTTAAAAATAAATATTATATTTTTTATTATATATATTTTTATATTTTATATAATATATTGTGTATAATTTATTAGATATTTTGTTTATTGTGTATTATATATTATATATTTTATATTGTATATTATTTTTACCATGCATATATACATGATATACAAACAATTGCAATGGTTTAACATCAGTTACATATATCATAGACATAGTGTCGTATAGGGTCTACATTGCCACGCATTGATGTTTGATGATGTTTGTATATTCAGATGTTCGTGGATATGGACACACAGAATCACACAATTCTGCGTCAATGGAGTACATTTACATTTTTCAACTGCGTAAATCCTGTTCTTGACTCTGGCAGCTCCAGGAGGTGACGTGTTTTGCACCACTGAGCTGTGGCCGTGCCAGGTCGAAAAAGTGTCGATGATGCTTACCCTGTCGAGCCAAATCCAGATGTGTGAGGTGCGAGACGAAAAGACTGTGCCATAGCTATCCATAGCTTACTTCCAGCCCCAATGAATTCAGTAGATGGATGTGATAGCCTACGGCCATGTACGGCCTACATTAAAGGATTAATAGTTACTAGACCAGCTTATTGCATTGCCAGATCGGTTTCTTGATTCTTGTTATGGCCGCAGTGTGTTCGCAGTTTCCGTATGTTTCTCTTATTGAGAGCCATCGGGCCATCGGGCCATCGGTGGTCCTTGATTCGTCATGTTTTTTCTCGTATCTCAGGAGGAATTGGAGCTGTCGGAGCGACTGCTCAAAGAGGCACAGACTTCACTGCAGAAGTGGAATGTCGACATCGTGAAGAGGTGCCAGTGACGGGCATGGGATGCATGGGGCGCAATATGGCGCAATGCTGTGCAGCACCTTTGCAGAAGCTGAGAGATGATGAGCAAAGTATATATGATATGTATAATTAATTGTGACTGATTAATTATGTACATATGAGAGTGGTTTTACAGCGTTTTATTTGAAATTTGACAACACGATCAGAGACGATGAGATGATATGCCATTTTCATCAGAGACGATCAGAGATCAACTTTCACCACTGCTCTTTTCTCCCCATGGTGAGGTCGCCGAGGGCTGCTGCTGCTGCAGCAGAAATGAGAAGACTTAAACAGAATGCCCAGGAGCATCAAAAGAAGGCAAGAACACACAAGGAACACGCAGTTCTGGACGTAGAGAACTTGATAGCTTTGGGCTGCTTTGGCTGCGGCTAGCGCACAGAATTCCTGGCATTTTAAGGGTTTGGGTAGTGAAGATGTCGATGCTCTCAGCGATGTTTTTTCGATGCGCAGATGGATCAGCTCTTTCAAAAGATCAAGTCTCAACGCTCTGGACTCTACGCGCGCCAGCTGGTGAAGGAGGTTCGGGGCGATCAAAAGAGGATCAAAAGACCCTGGCGGATGAACATCCCGATATGATCCCAATATGCTCTCTACATCTCTCTACTAATTCCAGGGATCGCCAGGACTGTACCCGTCTTATCGTATTAGGAACAGAATGGAACAGACCTGGGATAAGCAAATTGGAGCAAAATATATACCAATCTAGCCTTCAGCATAGCTGGACTATGTCGGTTGAGAGCGCTTGTTAATTTGCTTGTTATCACTAATTTGTTTTATCACTTTTTGCTTCGCATATGCCCACAAGTGACGAATCTCAGCAACGGAATGGCAGAACAGCAGGGTCGTTGGGGGATGCACAACTTCTTTTTGACAAGGCCACCGCGAAAGTGGTGATTGCAGAGGATTCGCTGATGAAATGCTCAGAGGCGTTTGACATTCACTTAGTTCGGTTTACATGTTTTTTATTTTTTTCATGTACACATCATATTGTAGACTGTTGTACAAGCATGTGTGGCTACATGTGTCTTCATGGTTCTTCAATGTTCTTCATGTCTGTGTCAAGTTGGTCAACGTTGAACTGCCCGCCCAGAACATCCCAAAACATCCCAAAACTACTTATCGTTGCGCAGGCTGAGATGCCCTTCTTGAAAGGCATCGAGGTCTTGCCCAAGGAGGACGCGCAAGTGCACGTGCCGCATGCCATGCATGTCGATGCATGTCGATGCATGTCGATGCATGTTTATGGTCTATGCTGTACTTGAATGTATTTGGTCGTCTTAGTTGGGTGATCTTGGTAGATCTTTGGATCTTTCGATCTCTCTCTGGTAGATCTTGGAGGAGTCTGTGCCAGCGCTGCGAGCCTGTGACCTGGCCATCAAGGCGTCGCTGGCAGCAGAAGGTGCGGCCGTGGCGTTTCTCCGGAGCAAAATCCCCGAGGCAGGCCTTGGCAGTGGCACATTTGGAATATTTGGACATATTTAGAATTATTATTGAATTATTTAGAATATTTAGATATATTTGGCATATTATTAGAAAACAATTGATAATTTTGGCATGATGAATATGAATGAATATGACATATAGATACATATAGCATCATATAGCATCATATAGCATCATATAGCATCATATAGATGCAATGCATAGATTGGCATTTTCATATATACCATGGCAGATCATGGCAGATAGCAATGTGGGCGTTGTGCGAGGTCAAACGCTTGGCCATTGAACAGTCCGCGAGCACAGACATGGAACAGCTCCTGAAGCGTGATGTGCTCAGAGAAGGGCCTGGCGCCATACCGATGCCACATTGTACATGATTTTGCCTGTGGACCGAAAACCGTGCTCGTAAAACGCACGTTTTTGAAAAACGCAATTTCAGAGGTTAGGTTGGGGTGGGGTGGGGTGGGGGGGCATGTCAACGTTCCTTGTATATACTTCGTACATTATAGTTTGCTTCGCTGCAGAGATCTCTGGGATCGTTGCTACGTTACTTGTTACTACGCTGCAGAGATCTCTGGTGTTGTTGCTACGTGGCATGATTCGACGCTGCTGATGGGGTGGGGTGGGGGGGCATGTAAACGGTGCATGCGTTGCAGTGATGACGGTGAAAAGGCAAAAAACGCGCCTCAGATTTTGCAAGGTTTCCAACATCAGAAATCAACGCGGCACTGTGGTAAAATCACCCTTTTTGGACAAAATATGCACACCGATGAGCACGGTTTCCAGTCCGGCAGGATGATTTTGTATGCCATATTTGACAAATTTGATACACATTTGCATATGATGGACGGTGGCCATTGCGGCATGACATGGCAGACTATCTAAGGAACCGCAACATGCCGCGAGAAGATTGACAGCTTCAAGCAGGTCAGAAACATGTATGTCACCAATGCCAAAACTGTTTGCGAATCATGAGTTCCAAAATCTTGAACTTGACAGCATTCTAAATAAATTGCTGTTTTTTACGTGTTTGATGCGTTCAGCATCGAGGAATAGAAAGTTCACACATTCAAAGGTCATTACTGTGACTCTACTTGATGCTGCCGATACCGTATATCAGGAGACTGAGCAGCGGAGAAGCAGCAGCTGCCTTGCGGAGCGCTGTGGCATGCTGTTATATACAGTCCAAACATTTGCACTGCATGACACTGCATGACGCTGCATGATGCTGCATGATACATTGGAGCAATCAAGAATTGCGTAGAATTGCGTAGAATTGCGTAGAATTGCGTAGAATTGCGTAGAATTGCGTAGAATTGCGTCATCGTCAGGACGTGATGGTGCACATGCAAAAGGCTGTGTCAGCTTCAGCGGAGCTCAAGAAATGGGCAAGCATTTGTGAGAAGGCCATGCAATCCAAGCTGTTCCAAGTTTTCTAGGCAATCTGCCAAGATCTGCTCAAAAGTAAATTTCTTGCTTTGGTTTACAACAATTGTTTACAGCATTTACAAGTATCATTTAAATATATTTCAACCACATATTTTGAGAATTGCTTGCATTCATCATGCTTTGCTGACCTTTGTTGTGTCGTATTATGCCGACGCCTTACAGGGCTTGGAAGCCTCAGTGGAAGAATTGACCAAAGCCTTGGACGAAGCACCCAAAGCTCAAAAGGCAAGCCTCGAGGGTCGGTCCAACTTTCAACGCAATTTTCTACAGAATCTTATTTAATATTATTGAACTATATTGAACTAAATTACGGGTGGAGTTACATTGCAAACCTTTCACTGTTGGTGAAACCATGTGAAACCGAAGTGGGGTTTCTTGATTAAAGATTTTGAAGGTAATATGGGTATATATATATAATAAGTTATAATCAAACTTAGGGTTATCAACATATCGGATGTGAATGTGCATGTATTCGCATAATAAGCCGTCCCAAAAGAAACACTTTGATATATCTTTGATGCAGTTTGGATACACAGAAATCAAAGAATTCCAACATTTTCGCACACCGCAGCCTGCTCCAAGTTTCGACTTTCAGGCCCTAGCTCAGGCTGTGGCCGAGACCTCCAAGCAATTGGTAAAGGAGGCGAAGTATGGCGAAGTGACATCAAGTCTTTAAGTGACATCATGAAATCATGACATCATGACATCAAACCAACTCATAATGCCAAGCATCGGTCTCCGTTGGTTTGAAACGAGATGGGCAGAACATGGCATGACATACATCGCACGTTTGTACAGGTGCATTTCATGCAACACCTTGCAACTCTGGTTGCCCAGTTGAATGTGTTTGAAGTGCCAGATCTGCCAGTTGGCTGAGATACAGAGAGGAAACTGAAGATTTGTGCATGCCTTCCTTTCGTTCCTTTCCTCTTCTACCTTTCGAGAAGCAAGATGGTACCCTGAATGTACCTTCTGATGGAAATGGATGGAAATGGATGGAAATAGATGGAAATGGATGGAAATGGATGGAAATGGATGGAAATGGATGGAAATGGATGGAAATGGATGAAACATGATGAAACATGATGAAACCTAAATTACTAAAGGATCCTAAAGGCGTGGTGAACTCTCAGGTGTATCATGAAACGTTCATGGTCCATACTGATCATAGTGTAGGTTCCGAGCTCATGGGCTTTCACTGTGACTCCATGCCAGCGACGTCAGTAAATAAATGTACACTGCAATACACTTTACATCATTTTACATGCATGTTCTTGAAAAGACATTTACTGTTGTATTGTATGGTCTTAGTTGCTTTTGTTTGCGTTGTAAAAGGGTTGAAACCATGTGAATGTGAAAGCTTGCACCTGAGGACCGACCAGCTGAGTTGCTTAGGGAGCTCAACTTCTGAATGTCCAATCCGATAAATCCACATTTCCATGATCTCTTTTAGCATCAGCAAATGGTCAGGAATCTGAACATACCCTGCGTCGGTTGTTGGCATTGCCAATGTGGTGACATGTGGAGGCACAGGAGGCTTCGGCCAGTCAAAAGCAGGATATCAAGAGTCGCCTTGCTGCCATGTCACAGGCGCGGGACATCGCGGGAGGTTTGGCTTCGTCACGTCACAAAGTTTGCGTCAGTGCCATGCAGTCTGCCATGCAGTCTGCCATGCAGTCTGGTGCTTTGATGTTTCGACATGTTTCGACAAAAAAAATGTTTGCTTCGGATTTCGGATTGTTTCGGATGTTTGATGTTGCTTGCTGTTGTTTGATGTTGTTTGATGTTGTTTGATGGTGTTTGATGTTGTTTGGTCCTTATGGTCCTGCCAGGAGGCGACGAAGCATCGCGCCACAGTAGCACAGGCGTCCAAAGCATTGAAAAGTTGGGCTCCACAGCCCACAGCTGGCGATATGCCCTTCGAAATGGTTGAAACATGCTGAAACATGCTGAAACATGTTGAAACCGATGGCACCAACAGCAGAGACTTTCGAGCGTTTCTAGATGTTTCTAGTATTGTCTGATATTGTCTGATATTGTCTGATACTTGTATTGTCTATATGACATGATATGACATGAAAACAAGTTACCGAGTTACCCATCGCGTCTGCCAAGGCAAAGAGTTGTTGGAAGATCAGCAGCGACGCACTGATCAGCTGGAAGCGCAACTCGCACATTTGCAGGACTGGCGGACTGAGCTTGGGATGCAACTTGTTTACAACTTACCTTGTTTACATAAGTTTACGCAAGCACATGGAGTAGATTGAAGTAGTATAGATGGCTTATATGAACTTACATGTTTCAGTTTCGTTGAGCAAATTCTGAAAGCTTTTTGGCCAACTCCCAAGAAGATATAAAAAGACATAATAAAAGACATTTGCAGCACCTCTCTGCATGAAATCAGGTTGGCCGGGCTGTGCCGATCGCTCTGTGAAGACATACCCTGTGAATCCCTGTGAAATCTTGTGAGGAGATCAGTGCATCTCTCTCTGAGGAGGAGGAGCAGGTCATGGAGGTGTGGTCCGGGTGAGTCTGCAGAGATCTCTTGTGCTTGAAGCATCTTGAAGCAACCTGTTTCTATCTGTTTCTTATGAAATTTATAAATCATTTAAATCTACTCAAAAATAATCAGGAAACAAATGCAGCGAATCCAGCTGGGACAAAATCCAGTTGACATTGTGGACTCAGCCGCTTTTCGCGCTGCTTTAACAGAACATCAATATGTCGGTTGAGTGACGACGAAGTTTGACCGTGTTTGACCGTGTTTGACCAATCTTCAATTTCTTGTGCCTCACAGGAACAGAAAGTAATGGACTCTCTGCAGAAGAGTCTGCAGGCAACGGATGGCAACGTATGGTCGAGATGACCTTTCGCAGTGGCTTCGAAACATCTTAAGATGTCTTGAGAATTCCTATTGTTTCCCAATGATTGTCACTGTGATTATTTTTGGCCTGTTTAGATGTTCTCCCTATTGTCATTTGTTGATTTTGTTGCCTACTATCTTCTCCCATAGGCATAACATATGGTAGCATCTGGGGATGTGTCCTGGATGTCAATGTCTATCAGTCTATCAGTCTATCACTACAGCTTTCTAGATGTTTCCAGGTTTCAGCTGATGTAAATCTGATGTAAATCTCAGATGAAACAGAAGCTGAACATGCGACCGTCGCTCTGTGACTCCAGACCGCCTTGAACGCAGCTCAGTTGAGAGCTAGCAACGCAAAGCCGAAACTTGCCATGAAGTGTAGGGAATTTCTGTGAAAAGCCTTGCCGACATTTTGGAGAGTCATCAATTTCTTTTCAAAAACTATCTCAATTGTCCTTTGAAGAAATTGAAGGGCGACTGCCACACTGAACGTTTATCCACAGCTTAGGAGTCTGAAAACTGCCTTGCAAAGCATTCTGGAGCGTCAAAGGAAGGCTGGTTCTTTGTGCGTCGATCGTGGGATAGCCAGATACCATCCGATGCCGGCTTCACGCCACTCATTCGTTCGACCTGCCTTGACATCCAGAACACGCAACACACAGTGTAGTTTCCTGTATTTTGTGCAGATCCCGCAGACATTTGCTAACTCCCCTGGGAACTCAATGGAAATCATAACATAACTCATACAGGATGCAAATGCATGCAAGATTTGAATAGATTTGATATTCAATGGCATGGGCGGCATGGGCGGCATGGGCGGTATGGCCATGGCATCATTTGGTTTACGAATTGCCTCAGTCGGCTCGACTCGACTGGTCAGGTCCATACGCAGTTAAACACTTTGGTTGCCACCTCCAAGGTGCAGGGTGGCTTTGCATATGACAACAAAAGTATGGAGCCATATGGAGCCATGTAACATGTTTTCATCATGTTTTCATCATGTTTTCTTGTAGATTGATTTTGCATGATTTTAAGACGTCCATGGACTGAGCTGGTTTGTAATTCTTCATCAATGCACTGTGTGCACTGTGTGCACTAAGCTGCGGTCCAAGGAGTCCAAGGACATCGTCCCTGACTCTGTCCCCTGACAGGAGCGGCGGGAGAAAACCCTCACGGAAATTTGGCAGCGAGGAGACTTCGCGAATCGAAATGCGACATTTCGACATTTCGACATTTCGACATGTCAATATGTTGTGGTGACACCACCTTAACTGCATGCAATGACAGTCAAATCCTGCAAGCATATGCAAGCATGTAATGCAATTACAAGGCCAGAGGTTTTGTGCAGTTCTTGATCCCAACAGTTTTTGAGCCCAAGAGGAGCAACTGAACGTCTCGATCAGCTACAAAAGTTGAAGACGGAGGTCGGGACAAACTGGACAGAGAACCTGGGAGAAGATCCTACTGTAGAGAATTGGTGCAGAAAAGAACGATGAAGGGATTCAAATGGATTCAACATGATATACGTGATTCAACTATATTCAACTCAATTTCCTGATCAAACGCGAGTTGAATTTGACATTCCAGGTCCATTTCAGGTCCGTTTCAGGGCCTTCTATGGTTGATGTTCACTGGCACGGTGTTCATCGGAGGCGGAGCAATTGGAGATACCATTCCTCAGAGGTCTAGAAGTTTTGCCTTATGAAGAGGTGCCATGGGGGTTTGTCTTACGGTTACCGTATGTTCATCAAGTACCGGTCATGCTAAGGGAGCGGCTGTCCTTCTGACGCCTTTCATGTTGTGGCGCGCATACGCCAGCAAAGAAGTCATGATTTTCCCATTTTTGCCTGGACAAAAGCGCAAAAGAGGGTTGCGAACAAGTTCATTCAATGATTTCTACCCGGTGTAGAAGATGAAACCAGTCTGAAGCTGCTTGAATGGAAGACTGCAGCAGAGCAATGACAGACCACAAAAGGGGTGAGCAGGGTTTTGCGGCTGGAGCTAATCTCACCAGTTCCGCACCCACCAATGTAGGTTTGTCCATGTTTGTCCTATGGCTCCATTTGTCTCCATGTGTGCTTCCAGAAGCCATTGGTATCGTTGGTATGCCATTGGTTTAGAGATGTTTAGAGCGTTGCTCTGGATCTCCTGACATCTCCTGACATCTCCTGACATCTCCTGACATCTCCTGACATCTCCTGACATCTCCTGACATCTCACCCAACTTCCCAGGCCATTGGTGCTGTGACTGGTATGGAAGAGGTTGCCAAGAAGATGGAGGCCGCTCAGGGGAAGGACATCGCAGGACACATGAACAACAGGTTCATCAGTTCATATCACTTCGTAAATATGCAATATAAATATGCAATATGTATTCTGCAAGTAGTTTGAAAGATTTGCACAGTTTCGCATGATGTTTTGATTGCCCAAGAGTTTCCTGTTTCAAACATATCGACTTTGGCATCTCAGAATCCCCAGGTTCCAAAAGCAGAACAGTTTGCCGAAAAGAATCTTCAAGCCATGCCTGTGCCGCTTACAATCTCTTACAATCTCTTACAATCTGATTCAATCTCATCATGTCAACCGTTTTGACCCCAGATGTACCGATGCCATTTCTGGCGCTGGCGGTGCAAGGCTGGGCTGCAAGAGGCCAGGAGTTTCATCGCAGCCAAGAGCCTGGTGTTCGCCTCAGCGAATCGCGCCAAGACCCATGGATTTCACATCGGTGTTTATTAAATGCTCAAGTTGGAATGATATTGCATAATGATGGACAATTTACTGTATAATGTATATTACATTTATATAATGTAATATACATTATCTATACATGATATATATATATATATGATTTATATCCATATATAGTATATATTGTGATGAGATGGGTTGGATTGAAGTGCAGCTGACTGCAGCTGAGTGCAAGGCGTGCAAAGCCATGGGTGCTACCAAGCAACGAGATCAACTGCTCCAACGGAACGCTGCACTGCCGCCACTATCCTCATGGCTTGGAGAGCTCCGCCAGGCTTGTCTATGACTTCATATGATTTCATCGATTTCATCGTTTTTCATCGTTTTTCCATGTTGTCCAATGTCAAAGCAATCTTTTTCATCTGTTCAGACTCAGATGGGAAAGTCCCATGACCTTTGTTGGTCTCTGAAGCACTGCACCCAGACAAATCTGGCACGACGCAAAGCGGCACAAGCACAAGCTGCAGATGCTCGGCGAGACAGTGCGAGACAGTGCGAGTGCGAGACAGTGCGAGACAATGAACGTGACACCGTGACACCTGACTTCACTTGACATTCACTGCGCCAACCTGACATCTAAAGAAATCTCTGAGGAAGCAAAGATCTCAGCCTTTGAGAAGGCGAGGATGGCTGGGACCCACATCTTAGTCACTGGATGTGAAAATATGTGTCAATCATATCACAACATATCACAACTACATAGTTTCAAGATGTCGAAAGAATTCGAAAAGAAAAGATTGAGAAGATATGACAAGATATGGCAAGATATGACAAGATGACACGAACATGTGAACATACATGTGAAACATCAAGTGAACATACATGAAGAATCTGTGTAAAATTATGTAAAATCTGTGTAAAGTGTAAAGGGTGTTGAAGCTCGGCCAAGCGCACCGTTGCGCCAGGCAGTTGATGCTTTGGTCGAGGCATGCTGGAATGGAATGTGATCGAATGTGATCAAATGAATGCTGAGCTCGTAAATCCCAGTCGCTCCCAGTGTTGTCCGCCTATTTGGTTTCCTAAATTTCTTTTCGTTTGTCTTTCGTTATCTGAACGATTCTGAACGTTTCCATTGTTTTCCTGAAAGCTCTCTCTCTCTCTCTACTAGAAGTCCTAGATGGATCCAAGACCATCAGACTTGTTACAGCCCGTGCCGAAACAGGAGGCAGCCAAGGATGACGATGAGAAGCTGTTGAAAAACTGTGAAGCTCGGAGAGCAAAGGCCTGATGTCGTTCTGTATGGGCCCAATGTAGATGATCATTAAATATCATTAATATCATTGGATATGGTGAGGAAAACATGTTTAAGATGTTATTTATCCAAACTACAAAAAAGTCGTTTTGTCACTGTACTTACTTCATAGAACAAAAGCCATGGTGCCACTCGGATAGATTCGGATAGTATTTCTTTCATTTTCTTTCTAGCTGCTGGTGTCGTGCCAGGTTTCTACTGTAGAGGCGTTGGCAGGGTATCCCAGAGACATCCGCAACGCAACTGCAGCAATTTTGTAGAAATGACGGCGCTGAGGCCCGAGAGGCACATGAAGCTTTGAAAAGCACGGCGTCAAAGGACCGCAGTGCTGCAAAACGGGCTTAGTATCAGGTGGATGACATGATGACATGATGACATGATGACATGATGTTTTTTGATGTTTTTTTTAAATATGTTCCAGCCTCTAGGCTAACTGTCTTGCTCTTCGAACATCGAGAATTCACAGGAGCTCCAACCCGACTGGCAGAGTTCAGTGGCACGGGGACCCAGACAGTTGTTTCGCTTGGACAAGTTTGGAAGCACAGAAAGGATCGCAGATCAGATGCCAGAATCAACAACTACAATGGATGTTAAGAATTATTGAGTGCAATACTTTAAAGCTTTGGGTTCATCAAGTTTCTCATTTCCATGAAACAAATATATTAAATAGATATCCCGCGTATCCCAGACAAATAATTATCACTCGCTCACATGGTCTCAGCAGAGACGTCGCAAAGGTACGCTTGAAGCGAGCGGAGAAAAAGCTCGAAACTTCCGTTACACGGAAGCTGAAGGACAAGTGTAGACGACGGTGAATAGGTGCTTACTATCAGATTGCTGAAACTGCTGCCGAGCTAGGATTGGCATGATATTCATGATCTTCATATGATCTTCCATATATTTCCATACTGTCATTTCTATTCATTTCTCGTATCAGAATCCATTGTTGAATGAATAGTAGCTATATGATAGCTATATACTATAATTAGATATAATTATTATAATTAGATATAATTAGCAGAATAGCCGTCTATAGCTGTGGGAGCTGTTGAAGCCATCGCCAGGAATTTGAGCGACAGGTCAGCGTCGGCAAACTTCTAGTGCAGGCGAAGCGTGGCAAAGCGTGGCAAAATGCTTGCACCATAGATAAACAGGGCATAAACAAGATAAACAACCAAACCTATTAGAAGGAATATGACTTATGAAGCTGTAATATGAAGATACATGATACATGAAGATATATGAAGTATTTCATTATGATTATTATATAATGTTATCATACTAGAAGGCAATACAGGTGAACCAAAACCATATATGGTATATTCGGTATATTCTTCTTTTCGATAGTTTTCGATGCAGGTACTCTCCATTGAAGGTACACTCCCTTTTCAGGGCTTCCCTGGAACATCCTGGAACATCATTGAGAACCCTGTTTCAGGGAAAGCAGTGTGAACAATGTGTGAACTCAGTGGGATCTTACCTTAGTGGCTGCATGAGATAGTTTTTGGATCGTTTTCTGGATCGTTTCTATCGCAATGAGATTGCAAAAAAAAAGAACGTTCTCAGTTCTCAGATGTTCTCAGCATTCAGTGGATTCAGGTGAAGAAACACTTGGAAGAGATGGATGTAGAGGCTCAGCTTGGGCAAAACGGGAAGTTCTGGCTTGCCCGCTCTATGTCAAACATAATGTTTGTGAGTAGAATGTTTGGACATGTTTGGACATTGGGTATTGCAATTGATTCGGAGCATGCAAAATGCAAAACAGGGAGTCACCACAACATGGATACCCTCAAAACATAGTGACTAGGAGTTCACTGTGACAATAGTTATTATACGTTTTGATAGAGTATACATTTCACTACTGCAAATAGGACATCAAGTCAGCACCGTGATCTTTGGGACAGGACTATGGTGCAATATGGAACCAATAGGTATCAATAAATATCACTAATAAGTAATAAGCCATCCCCGAGTACATCCGTGTCTTTGGTGGGACCACAGCAGGTGAAGACCTGTGAGACGAAAGCAGGGTTGGCCTTGGCACCAACGCCATCGGCGTGTTCCTGAGCTTTGCTATGGAGCTGGATTCTTTCCAGAATTTTCATTGTTTTCACTAGTTTTCACGATGATATCCTGAGGTTCTTTGCCAGGAAACCATGGCAGTAGCGCTGCAAGAACGCATGAAAGACAAGGCCAGTGACCAAATGTCAGGGGAAGACAGCCTCAACGCCTCAGCTTGAGCACTGTAAGCATTTGTAAGCTTTGTGACGAGCTCCAAATGTCCAGAGCCATTAGGGAGACCTTCCAAGTACTCGCCTACTTTGCAGCAAAACAGCAGCAAAGATCACTAAGCATTGCGTAAGCATGTTCAGGTGACCGGGTGATTCAAATGTTGACATCAGGTGCTACTATGTGCTGCTACTACAATGTTACTAGATGTACTTGTATGTGCTACTACTGTGAATATAAATTCAATATAGTATATATGTATATATATATATATTCTGTTTTTATTATTCATATTATATATGATATAACATATATATATACAATATATATATACACAATATATATATATACAATATATATATATACAATATATATATATACAATATATATATACAATATATATATACAATATATATATACAATATATATATATACAATATATATATATATACAATATATATATATATATACAATATATATATATATATATTAATATATCATATATCCATTAGCTATATGTTTCATATGTTTATATCCTACCTACATAACTTTTGCATTTGCATCGAGGCCTGGAGCTTTGAACAGCTCTTCAAGGACTTGGTGAATGGCAACAAACAGGTGCCAGGGCCGCGTCGCTGATCTCTGTGATCTTTGTGCTGCAATAGGCACAGACGGCCCCTCCATCCTATCTAATCTATCTAAGATTTATCCCATATTTATCACATCGAATTTGGCAAAATGATGTGGAACCCCTCTCTTGGGAGCCCAAGCCATGCAGGGTTGTTGGCAAGGTGAGTCCTGAGCAGCTGGTGAAATATGTCACCACCCTGAAGCCCAAAGCGATCTCAGAGGACGGGGTGGCTTGCCATCCCAGAGATGGAAAGATTGCAGATATAGACTTGATATAGACTTGATATAGACTTGATATAGACTTGATATTGGAGGCTGGGCTGGCCCTCCCATAAGCTGGGAGAAAGATGTGTTGATGAAACATGCTGGAACTATATACATAATACTGTATATATTTGTATATGATACATACATATACATACTGTGATATAATTATATATAATTGATATAATGTGTATATATATATACACACATATGTATCATATTTGTGGGACCTCTTGGAGTCAAGTTTTTCGTACTTAAAGCTGGGCACAGGAGCAGCGAGAAGCCTGGCTGCAAGGGCAACAGGCTGGTTGCAGGGGGATAGCAGAGACATTCTCTTTAAATTAAATGTCCGAGTCTAATTTAAATGAGTTTCTTGCATTGATGCTGGGATTCTCACTGTGGACAAGTATGGCTTGTCAGAGAATAAGTCGTTGAAAGCCACGAGTCCAGCCAAAAAGGATCGGAAAAAACAATTTGAAAGCAGCAACATAATGTAGCAATACAGAAATATACAGAATATGCACAAGCAAAACAGTGACTTCGAGCCGAACTATGCAGGTTTCTATCGATTTGGCCTCGTTGAAGAGCCTGGCGCGGCGTTGTGGAAAATGCGCTGCTGCAGCGCGGGTGGAGAACGAGAAAGGCGAACTCGTGACAGAGGCGGGCAAATTTGCAATGTGATGTAATGTATTGCTCTTTTGGAAAACGTGTTTGAGGCAAGATGAGGCAAACATTCTTATTGAAATGTATTGAAATGTTTTTTTTGACATCTCGTGCTGTCTCCATCGTTGTCTCGTGATGCCTCGTGCAACTCCAACGGCAGTTGAAGCCTGGAGATTTGCTGGTGATCCATGGCACGAAGGGCACGAGAGATGGCAAGGAGCTTCTTGAGGCCGTGCACAGTAACGAAATGTAAAGGACTTGACTGGAAGTATGAAACTATGAAACTTGAAACATCGTGAAACATCTTGAAACAATTGCATACGCTGAATGGGCGTATGAAACAATGCTGTTCCGATAGAGTGAAGAACAGTAGCGGCAAAGTTGGCGGCTTTGGAAGTCTGGGTTTCCTGCGACTGCAGGGCATTGAGCATGAGACACCCTATTCAGCATGAATGTGAATAATGTGAATTCCGGTGCACAAATTCTGCACAATTTTGCAAGTTCGCTCACCGTCAGGTGGAACTTCTTTCAGGTGTCAAGGGTTTTGCCAGCTGCAAGACCAAGGCACACCGTAGAGAGACTTCGAGCTACATCGGAACTTGAAGCTCTCTATAGCTCTAGCTCTCTCATTTTAGCACAGTCTTTATGTGGAATTGTGTGGACCAAAACATATGGTCAAAATATGTGCGGATGCCAGGGATTGCCAGGGGCCGAATGGATGTCCAGCCTTGGAGATCCCTTCCGGTGTCCACTTGAGGGTAAGTGTACATAGTGTACCGATGTGTACCGATGTGTACCGATGTGTACCGATGTGTACCGATGTGTACCGTGTATCCAGGTGAAACTTAGCATACTTAGCTGATCTTAGCTTAGCTCATTGCCGGAGGAGAAGCTGCAGCTGCTCCCGTGCAGCACCTTTGAGTTCCACTGTCATCGTCTCAGAAACCCAAACGGACAAGATCTGAAGATATCTGAAGTGTCCACTTGTTGAGAAGACGTTAGGAAAACACACCGTTGGGCCGATCGTTGGCCATGACTTTGCAGACTTTGTGTGGCCTTTGCAGGTGAAGAGCTCGAGCGGCTTGTACAGGACAGTGGCTCCGTGGCCGTGGCAGCCGTGTGCAGCCTGCTTTGTGAGCCCCTGTCAAGCATGATTGATACAAGGCATATACAAGGCATATCGCCATATCAAGTCATGAATAAGGCGATCAGGAACATTCAGCATCTACACTGGGTGTGATGGCTTTAAAATAAAGGTGGAAATGGTTTGACCGGATGATTTGATGCAGATGCCAATATTCTAGGATTCTTCCTCCAGACATACCTCAAGGATCTTCAGGCTATGCCAGATTCATATCACACATCCCCAACTTTGCGATGAACACATGACCTGACAAGCTGCGGACATGGCTTGGGCATGGCTCGGACATGGCTCTTCGCTGCCGCACTGCCGCAGCGTGTTTGTGTTGCCGTTTTCCAGGAGTCCTTGACGAAAATTCAGGCCAAGGTGACTCAACTCACCTCAGAGGCACAGGGTGGACACAGTGTGAGAAAGAGACGGAAAGAGACGGAAAGAGTCTACAAAGCCGAAGAAGGAAGCCCACCATGTCACTGTCATTATATTCATCCATATCCATAAGAACTAAGGAGAGGACGTTAACGTTTTGTGCCCGGAGAGTTTCGGAGCGAGAGAATTGGTCATGCGGCACATCTTGATTTCATCAAAAAGATGCAAAAAGATGAGGTACTCGTACTCTGGACTTAGTTTGAAAACCATATGAGCTGCTTTGGCTTTGGCCAGCAAAATGATGCCTTTGCGCAGTTCATCATCGGTGAGGGGCAACGAATCATCACATTTGTTCAGGCGAAGGAGGTGCAGACAGGACCAGACGAGGTGCTGAGCGCCGAGTCAGTGCTCTCCAACCGTGTTTGATGTCTGAAATTATCTGAAAGAGAACGATAAGAACGATAATTAAGAACGATAAGAACGATAAGCACGGTAAGAACGATAAGAACGGCATCAGGAAATCATGCTTTCATGCTTCCGCTCGACATCACTGTTGTTCCAGCGGACTTCAGATTCACAGGGTAGGATAGATGTTCCTTGGCGTGTGATTCACTCAGTCTCTTCTAGATCATTCTGAAAGTTTGCTGCCCCATTTACATCCATTTAGTTTAAATGCAGTTGGGAATGGAATGCTTTTTTTGACGTAGACGCTCTGAGAGGCTCTCCACAATGAGAGTAGAGTTTGGGTATAAAATCTATGTGGATCGAAAATGATCGATATACTAGCAGCATCTCGCAGCCGAGAAATGAAGCCCAATTCATCTCGGAAGGTGAGGGCTGAGCTCGCAAAGCTCACACCCAAGCTGCAGGCACAAGTGAATGCGTCGACGGGAAGTCGCTGTGTCAACAGCCTTCGGGGCAATTGTTTGGGATGTTGAAATGCGTTGAAAATATGTTTAGTGATGCTTAGTGTATGCTGAGTCTGCTGAGTGTATGTTTAACATTGTTTGACATAATATGTTGTTAACATGTGATGTCTCTTGACTTGATATCTCTTGGTCAACCTGATGCATCTTTCTCTTTGAGGTGCCAGTGGCTGGGCTCTCCTTGCTCCAGAAGAAGGTGTGGATGTGCTCCAAAGAGAATCTAATCTGCACATCCAGCATCAATCAACACAGCAATCAACATTCCATCCTGTTTCCATACAGATGGACTTTCTACATCATCCTGCATCCTGTCACAGATTGCGGTGTCCAAGCGCAACTTCGCCAAAGGGCAGGCTGGCATCCCGAGTTTTGTGTGGTGTGTCTTCACAGTCAGCTCTGAGCTCTTCAGATTTCCCTTACCGACCACATCCGACCACTGTACCGATCTGTATCGATCTGTACCGTATGGCACTGGCCACAGGACCCATGCCCCCCTTCCCCCTTGCCCCCCAACATGCAGTCCGTAGCCTCATTTCCATCTCGTCTGATGTTGATGTTGATTCATAAAAGGGCCTTCTCAGATTTCATCATCATATATTGAAAATATTGAAAGATTCCTGACCCGTTCCTGACCTTGTACCTTTTTGAGTCTACAGAGGCATCTGAGCGACAAAAACTCTTCGACAATCTGCACCAAAATGAGGCGGAGGAGCGAAGAACGATATGACAAACGTCGAACAAGTTAGGTTATCACTGAGTTATCACCGTGGATTTTTACAGCCAATTTGTAGCCGTTGCAATATGTTGCAACCGTTGCAAAGAGGCCAATTGAGGCTATTGCATGCTGCCCGGGAATTCTGCAGGAAGTGGTTGCTAAAATGGAAGCAAAAGTCGAGGAAGCCGAGGCCTTCAAAAAGACAAAAGAATTTAAGAGCCGTCAGAGCCGTGAATAGCCATGATGTGGAATTCCAGGGAGAGATGCAGAATGATTCCGATGGGACAAGACTCTACAAGACTCTACAAGACTTTACAAGACTTACATTGTGAAAGAGATGCCGATTCAGTGCGCGCCAGCTACTGCAGCCACTGCAGGCATTGCAACAAGAGCTACAAAGCAAGCTCGCCAAGCTCAAGAAGACGGAGGTGTGAGCTGGTGAGCTGTCTGAGCTGAGCTGGAAAGGATTTCCAAAGGCAGTTTGTTTGATGTGTTTGGTAATGTTTGGTATCTTTAGATATGTAAGTTATGTATTAGTTATGTATACTACTGTACACTACGTAATAATTGTTACAACATGTCACAACTAGTTATATTATTATTGTATAGTATATTTAGTATTGCTACTATTAGAGGGCGGGCTGGATTATTCGTATTATCATTGTCATTATTATTGTTATAATTGTTATCATTACTTATTATGTCATGTTATTAGGATTTATTAGTTGGTTTTCATGTAATGCCTTGCGCAGGATCTATTGTTTGCCTTGGTGATCTAATCAGCTTAGGGTTGAGGGCCAAAGCTCTTGCAACGGGGCGAATGAGGGATCTTAAGATCTTCAGGGTGTGTTGTTTGAATTTGTGAAGCAGTGCTTTGTGGCGCTCAGGGAGGAGGCACAGAAGAGTGCCAGCGCCCAGTTTCATTGCAGAAGGCCAAGATCTGGCAGCCCCGGCGGTGTCGGATGAATGTATCTATAACATTCTATAACCTTTTGTGCATTGAGCAGGCCGAACTCATCCAAACTCTGAAGCTCTCTAACCATACACCATCAGTCACTATTATGATCATTGATGTCGCTTGGTATCAAATCAATTATATAATATTGCTGTATCCTTTGCGACTGTTGTATTGCATATCTTTCATATTGCATCCTTCTGTCGAGGAGCTGAATGAATTGCACAAGAAGATTATGGCAGCCACAGATGAAGCCAAGGTGGGAGACTACATGAAACTACAGGACTACAGGATCATGGTGGATTTGCTTGCCCTGAAAATATTTCTGCGCGAGTCTTGCTTCGCGTGGCCCACCGAACAGGATCCAACACATACTCAGCCCAAGATCCATCAATCCAAGATTCGTAAATGTTTTGACCAAGCCATGGACATTCCACTGGACATCATAATCACATCGTGTGACACATCATGACACATGCTTTCTCAGCTGATCTCAGCTGCCTTGCAAGGCTGTGGTCTTACAGGAGCAAGAGAAGGTAAAATCGTGCCCGCAGGCGGTGAAGCAACAGCTTCTCAAACTCACCAAGCGATCTCAGAAGGCCAAGAGTGAAGGCTGGGGACATCTGGGGACTTTGGTCGCATCATGTTCCCATCATCTTCCCATCATGTTGCATCAATTCCATATTTTTCATTTCAGAGATGTTTGATGCTTTTGTGGTGGAATTCTGGAAAGACACGTCGCATACAGGTATTTGTCACGTATCACATCCGCTTTTGCATCTATGGCTTGGGCATCTCGTGTTTTTTGCTGTGAGGGGGTTTAGATAACATACGCCTCCAGATTCTTGCGGAAGATTACAGATGTCTCCTCTATGTCTCCTCTGTGTTTCTTCTGGATGTTTTCGGGTGCTTCTAAACTAGGCGCTTCTGAAATGAAGACTTTGGAGAAAGCCGTCGAGGTTCTTTGGCGTTGGTTGGGTGCATGAGAGTAGCTGTGAAATGCTCACGGGGAAAATAGTGCAGCCGATATACCGCCCCAATATGGATTAGTGAGGATGCTAGACCTTCCAAGTATGAAAGAACCTGGATCAAGAGTTTAGCCTGATGCAACCGAGTGATAGGTAGTGCACTTAGCAATCTATCGATGTGATTATACATATATATATATATATATATACATACAATTGTTATACATATTATAGTTGATATGATTATATCTATTTGTATATATATATATATTATTATATGCAGACCTAGCAGACTCCAGGCCATTCGCACATCAGCGTCCCGAGCCTAGTGGAATGGTCATTGCGTTGCGATATGTTGCAATGCCATGCTGAGGCTGCAGGATTCTGCAGGATTTCGGCATGTTTCTTTAGCCAGCCAAGTATAGCTATACTGTAAATGGATGGTGCGAATGACACGTTAAGGTTCTGGTCATCCACTGAAAATTAAAGAGAATCTGACACCTCACAACTTCAATGCGGGTTGATGATACTCGTTTCCAGGCGGTTTGAAGAGTAGCTGGCTTCTGAGGTTCTCAAAGTTAAGCGTGATTCTGCGGAAATCTCCAAGCCATGCTGTCTTGAGGAGTAAACAGGAGTGACGGAAGCTGCTGAAAGAGTTCAGCATCGAGTGCAAAATCTCCACAACAGAAAGTATGATGTGCTTCTGTATGCTGCTTGTGCGATGCAAATTGATGCACGTGCGAGCCACACAAAACAAAATCTAAACGCCGTTCTGCGCATTTTGTTCTCGTCCGGAGGAGCTTGAGAAGCTGATTCGAAAGGAATTGGACGCTCCAGAGGTGCATGGCACATCAGTTACACAATGACTTCCAATGGCTTCCAAGCACAACAATAACGAGCCATAGCGAGCCATAGCAAACCATGTTTTAGGAGGTGACATCAGTTGATCCGACGATCAAGTGGCATTCAGTTTTTTTTCCAAACAGGGAGATTTTGCAACACCATGGGCTTTCTTGGGCTTGGGAGGAAACATCTCCACTCTCTGTCACTCTCCGTCACTCTCTGTCAGTCCGTCCCTCCGTGAATCCGTCACTCCCAATGGTTGAGAGATGCTGAGAGGTTTGGAGATGTTGTGAAACCGTTTTGTGGCATTTTGTGGCCCAAAAACCCAGGAGCACCAGCAGCTGCTGATTGAAAGCCTCGGGGATGATGAATTGAAGTTGTTGCAGTTGTCCCAAAAGTGCGCCATGCCACATTCACAGCTTGCAATGCTATGCAATTGCCAATTAAGCAAGTCACCTTGAAACAAATTGTGTACAGTATGTATGACATATGAGATTAATTAATTGAAATTGCGGTGAATTCGGATTTGATAAACGCGAATTTGCACATTTGCATTGCATTTGCAGGTACCTCATGGTTCAGCGTCCGATTGCCATGACGAACAGCAGCAATCTGGAGGATGCAAAGACAGCTCCTCACAAGCACGGTGTATGCAACAATGACGTAATGTAAGTTGATAAATTTAGTAGGTAGATGTATATGCAGAAATAGGCCACAATAGGATATGAAATTACATGCTGTTTTTCTGATTGTTTCCGTTCTTTTTGTTCACGAACCGTGACTGAGGTGCGAAAGTTGACACCTCCGGAGATCCTACAAGTCTTGGAGGGGCCTTCAACTTGTGGTGATTTGCAGCGCGTCTTCGCTCGTGCCCTTCGCGATGGCGTTGAGGGGTGGATGCTTGGCGTGATCCAAAACTTATTCAGAGTGGGTGAAAAGCAACGAATGATCCGTGACACCATGACATGTTTTTTTTGTTGTATGAATCCATTGTGGGCAATGTTGGACATGCTTTGAAAGGTTTGCACCTTCGTCCCAGCATTGACGCTGCGAGACTACATAGCACGAAGATGCTGTCATCATGTCTGGTCCTGTCTCAGGGTGACCATGGAAGGCAATCAGGGCACCAGCTACGTCAAGGACGCGGCCAAGCCTTTCTATGTTTGCATCAGCAAAGAAGAGGCCACAAGAGGAACCAGTTGCAAAATGCTTCAAAATCAGCAATTAATTTACAATTAATTTACAAAGTACATCAGAATGATTCATAATATACCAAAACATTACCAAAACCAGAGGTGCTAAGCGCTTCGCTCAGCTTTGGTTAGCTTCATCCGTCACACTCCGTAGCCTCCGTGGATCTTTGTCGTTTCTGTCATTGAGACGTTTCCCACAGATTGCTTTGGGCGACGACACATTGAAGCTGGGCGAAGTTGTGGAGCTGATGCAGGCAGTTGATGGCTGGCTTTGACAGGTTTGACAGGTTTGACATGGGCAATTCATGGCATATGGCAATTCAATCTCGGTGGTGGCGAGGAGGGTCCATACAGTGAATCCCATGCAAAATCTTGGCAGGGTCCTGATCGAACGAGCTCCAACATTCAAAGAGCGCGCTGCCAGGCAGCTTTTCCGGCCACGGGACTGCCAAGGGAGTGGTTTAAAGATGTTTAAAGTCATTTCCTGGTCATTCCTGGTCGGATTATGTTGAATCTATGACCAAAATCCATCCCAAATCCAGAGTGCCATGACGTTGGTCAACCATCTAACTTCAGACATTTCACTCTTGACTCTCCAGCAGTTGTTTCATGTTGTTTCCATTTCACATACATCATACAACCCTAGCCGCCCTAGCCGCCCTAGCCGGTGTATGCCGGTGTACCGTTGCATGCCGCAACAATTGCGCCTAATTGCGCGCCTTAATTCCTTGGAGGCGCTCTCCGATCAAGCCTCTGGATGGTTTACCTTGGTGGACAAGTTTGGCACCGCCTATGCCGAAAAGCTTCCGAACCTGCACCTTGTTCCATCTTGTTCCATCTTGTTCCAGCTTGTTCCAGCTTGTTCCAGCTTGTTCCAGCTTGTTCCAGCTTGTTCCAGCTTGTTCCAGCTTGTTCCAGCGTGTTCCAAGAGTTTGTTTGGATCATTTTGGATCCTTGCGTACGTTTCAGGACCCCTTCTTCACCACACTGCTGTCTTGAAATCCACTGCGATCGAGGTACAAATGCTCATCTGCAGTGGCAATGACAGAAGAATTGGACATAGAAAGCAAAGTCATAGGCCGACTTGCCAAGGGCACTTGCTTGGTGCCGGAGGCCCGGGTGCACAAGAGTGTAAGGACTGTAAGGACTGTAAGGACTGCAAGCTGGCCAAGACATGCTAATACCATCTTATACCGGGAAACCCGGCTGGTAGGCCTGGGAGTCTCTGGTACGCCACAGAAAAGCTGTTCTTTTTCCTGAGTCTTGAAGCTAAGAAACAGGAAATCCTATGAAATCGTTTTCATCTTGCTGCTGAACGTGTTGGAAGCAAAACGCCGACAAGTTTCAGTCTGCTCTAGCCACGTCTCAATGATCTCAATGTGTCAATTCTGTCCAAGGGCATCTCCAAGAGTAACAATGAGATCAATGAGTAACATGGCTAAAGCGATGTAAAGCGATGTAAAGCTGGGCCTCTTGGCATCTCTTGGCATCTCTTGGCGCAGGGAGGCCCATCAACTGATCCCAAGGGTGATTTGCAGCGTTTGCTTCTTGGCAAAAATGGCAAAAGTCCACCATTGGAACAAAGATAACAAAGCCTCATAGATCATCAGAGATCCAAACATCTCAAAACCTCATAGGTTTGGTTTACATACACTTTACGTATACACTTTCATCATTTTGTATACTGTACGTGTGCATCGAACTAACCCTGAGCCATCCTTGGGCCCCCAATTTGGTGACATTCTACATTTTGGGACATCAAAGTACCATACCTTGCTTGGGCTATCTTGGGCTCCTTTGAGGCTCACACGCGCATCGCACACATATACACACATGTTATGTATATCACAGTTCGCAATTTGGGATGTAGATCCGTTAAGTTTAGATCCGCTACCTTTCAAATCTCAAAAAAAACCTAAGTTCATGTCTGATTGTGCTATCACCAAGAGGTTGTAATGAAGCAAAAGAAACTGCGGACATGATTTTGTTTCTATCAAAGCAATGCTGATTTTTTCGGGATAAGCCGTTGATTGAAACTATGGCAGCCAATCTAATGACAAGTGATCCTTGTCAGTTGAAACTGACGATTGAGGGTTCTGAACGTAGCAGCAGGCATGACCTTGGCTCAACTGACACTGACCTTAAGCCCAAACGCCGGCAACAGCAATGCCAAGCAATGACAACTTTCGCATCTGTATATGCAAGCACATCACCCCTTTAGACAATTGTTGGCCCATTTTGAGACATTTTGAGACATTTCGAGCAAGTTTGGGAAATTTTGAGCAAATTTGAGCAACTTTGAGCAATTTTGAGCAGTTTTTTCGGGCCAGCTTGGGCAATTTCGAGCAATTTTGAATATTTTTGTCGGGCAAGTTTGGGTCATGTCGAGCAATTCTGAACAATTTATGGAAGCACGATATGGCAGTGTTGACCTTGGACAATATACATGTTCGATCATATTCGCATATGTGCATATTATACAATATTATACGTACATACATACATATATATATATATATACTGGCTAATGATCAGGCGACGCAAATACACGAGACCTATTTGTCCTTTCCAAGGTTTGGCCGCATCGTTGGATCTGGCTCTGTCGGCTGGGTCACCGTGAAAGGTAACGCAGGAACTGCAGCTTGGCCAGCACTTGGAGAGCAGGAACTGCAGCTTGGAAAGGCAACGTTGATGATTGGTAGTGACTTAGTGGTGATTAATAGTGTTTCATGGATAGCCATTGAAAAAGTGACTGGAATCGGCGATCCTTGTGATATTCTCGTGATATTTTTTTGTGCTGCGTTCATTTGTTGTTCATCCGTTGTTCGTCCGTTGTTCTATGTTATTCCGTGGTTTCCTTTCGGTTCTGAGCTCGGCTTGGAAGCTGAAGGGATAGGACACCATGCACGGTAGAGGATTGGCGCACTTTGATAGCTGCAGACGGTGGCATTGATCTGGGCGCCTATCGCAAACGTGCAGGCTCCTTGCACGACGCAAAGTTCAGACTCTTTGTGGCAGAAGTGACGAGGTGCGAGCAAAGCTTTGAGGAGTTCATCCTGCGGAACCGCTACAAGAGCTTTCCAGAACCCACAGAACCTGTCCAATCTAAACCAGAGGATGAATCCTTTGTACAAAGTCGGACAGGTCAGTGTCCCATTCGAGAGTGTGAAGTGTTGGTGGTGAGCTTGTGAGATGCTTGGATCGCACCCCCACATAAGGATACATAAGGCCCGTCAGGTATTGGCTATTGAGTCAGCCGGGGGCAGGTGGGGCATCTGTCACAGATCATTTGAGTCATTTCCCACACTTCCTCGTCGTCCTTTGAAAAAGGTTTCTTTGATTCAATTTGTCAATCCAGCCTTTCTGACGTCACAGCAAAGCAAAGTGATCGTTCCACTGGAACCAGATTGTGATGCTCTCCAGTATAGATATATAAACACCAGGCAACCTAGGATCGAATCGGATTGCATTCCTCCATGTTGCTTCTGGGCAAAGACAGGTAGAGCAGCTGAGAAAAAAACGTGTGCCGTAGTGCGCATGAGAATGATTTGGTCCGCATGGAGCCTCACGATTTCTCCCCATCATCAAGAGCGGTGATTTCTACATCGAAAGCATTCTCTTCGGAGGGACTACTCCTGGCTTGTTGTTGCGGATGTTTTTTTTCCATGTTTTCATAGACGATAGACCTCAAGTCACCATTGAGTCTTGATGCTGAAATTCTGCCGACTTGAATTTCTCCCCTGAAAACAGTGCCTTTCGTATATAAGTTGTTTGCCTCAAAAACCACGTCAGGGTACACAGGTACCCGCGGTGACGCCTCAAGCATATCTTTATCGTAGTTCAAGTGCACGCAAAACAGATGCAAAACAACACAGCAACAGTCGAACGTGGATATAAGCTATGAACACAATTGAAAATTGAAAGATATACGCTGCCTTACCTGCAAGAACCTGCAAGATCCTGCAAGAATACCATGACCATCCATGACCACCCATGACCATCCATGACCATCCATGACCATCCATGACCATGCACTTGAAATGAATGAAATCCATGGAATCCATGGAATCCATGGAACCTGAAAGCGCAGATTTTGATGCGAACTTTGGAGCCCTTGAGCTGGAAGATTCGACAACGTCCTCACTCAGTTCCACACAGGCTGAGACCAAGCCAGTGCACGAAGGAGTGCAAAAGCAAGCGGATCCAACAGGCTCAATGAAATTTCAATGAGTCCGGATCATTTTGTTCTAGTTAGTTCTAGTTCCTTTATTTATGTTCGATTAACGTTAATGGATTGTGTTTCATACATACTATATAATAATACATACATATTAATGTTATTTAATATTAATACAATGTATTTAACTATTTCAATGATGTGCCTTGAAGTTGAATTCCGTTGTTGGACTCAAGGACACACGATTCTATTGTCTCAAACACGTCACAACCATGGCAACCGTGCCACAACCCTTGACCATCCTCGACCAGGTTTGGTTGACTTCATCGCCAGGCTCGATGTGGATCCTTCGGTGGTTCGTGCCACCACCTCCTGCAAGGCGCTTGGAAACTTCGGAGAAGCTTTGCGGTCTGGGGGCAGATGTGGACCGCTCCAGAGACTTCATTTGTATCTGAAGAGCAATTCGGTGGAGGAGATCGGTGAGATCCAGGAGTTCTGGTCGCATTCTTGGCACATGGCTCCGTGGAAGAAGATCATGTGTCTTTTGATGCTGAAGAACGGCGTTGCGGCTGGCGTTCTTGGCCACTTGGCAACAAGTGGTACCAGCACCCATTCTTATAACGGAGCAAGGACTCACAGGACTGTCGTCAAAGGAATGGTATGATATGGTATGATACATCATCAATCATAATGATACGTGCAATATTACTGTATATACATATCCTCGGGGCCCCAGGTTTCCGCAAGGGGTGGGGTGGGGCGGGGTGGGGCATGTTAACGTCATGTTCATGGTACGTTGATGGGTGGGATGGGGTGGGGGCATGTTAACGTCATATTCAGGGTACGTGAGGTCGGTGGGTTGGGTGGGTTATGTTAACGTCAGTTCATGGTACGTTGATGGGTCCGGTGGGGTTGGGGGGGTATGTTAACGTCATGTTCATGGTACGTTGATTGGGAGGGGTGGGGTGGGGCATGTTAACGTCAGTTCATGGAGTTGATGGGAGGGGGGGGTGGGGTTTAGGTCATGTTATGGTACGTTGATGGGGAGGGTGGGGTGGGGTGGGTGGGCATGGTAACGTATGTCATGGGTTGAGGGAGGGGATGGGGTGGGGCCTGTTACGTCATGTTCATGGTACGTTGATGGGAGGGGTGGGTGGGGCATGTTAAACTATGTTCATGGTACGTTGAGGGGAGGGTGGGGTGGGGCAGTAACGATGGGTGAGGGGCTGGATGGGGTGGGGCATGTTAACGTCATGTTCATGGTACGTTGATGGGAGGGGTGGGGTGGGGCATGTTAACGTCATGTTCATGGTACGTTGATGGGAGGGGTGGGGTGGGGCATGTTAAGGTCATGTTCATGGTACGTTGATGGGTGGGGTGGGGTGGGGCATGTTAACGTCATGTTCATGGTACGTTGATGGGAGGGGTGGGGTGGGGCATGTTAACGTCATGTTCATGGTACGTTGATGGGTGGGGTGGGGTGGGGCATGTTAACGTCATGTTCATGGTACGTTGATGGGAGGGGTGGGTGGGGCATGTTGTCAGTCATGGTACGTTGATGGGAGGGGTGGGGTGGGGTGGGGCATGGGTGGGGTGGGTGTTAACGTCATGTTCATGGTACGTTGATGGGAGGGGTGGGGTGGGGCATGTTAACGTCATATTCATGTTGCGTTGATGGGTGGGGTGGGGTGGGGCATGTTAACGTCATGTTCATGGTACGTGGAAACTTTGAAAAAGAACATGTGGCAGCATGTTGCAGCAGGGTGTTGACGTTGAAACAACAACGAGCAAAAAACAGGTGACTATCAACATGTCCCGTTTCATGCTACTATGTTGCCCATAGCTATTACATGGAAACCTATGTTTGTTAGGAAACAAAGTTAAAGATCTGGGAGGCCGTGTGCCATGGTGATTCCTAAATATATCCTTTGAAAACATAGTTTTAACATATGTGATACCTCAGTGTGCGCAATGTTTTCTTCATTTTTGGAGATATAACAACATTCCTTGAAAGCCGGTGTGCCATTGGGATTTTGATATTTTGATGTGACTTTTGCCTAGTTGATGTGACTTTCTTCCAACTCGCTGTTACATGGGGTTGATGTGGCTTCTGCCCAACTGATGTGACTTAAACCCTTCGCTCGTAACATAAAAAACATTGCAAATACCAATAAAAAACAGCCCTTCATATTACACCACAAACGGCAGTAAAAACAGTACTTTTCCGCTTCAAAAAACAACGGCTTTCATGAAATGTGCTATTTCGTGTGGGAAAACAAGAAAATCAGAAATTTTGAAAAAGAACATGTTGCAGCAGGCTGATGAAGTTGAAGCAACAACGAGCCAAAAAAAGGCTGACTATCAACATGTGCCGTTTCATGCTAACGTTAAAATTCACTGCAAATACCAATAGAAAAGACACCTCTTCATATTACCCCACGTGCCGCAGTAAAAAAATGACAATTCCGGATTAAAAAAAAGAAATTCATGAAAAGTGGTATTTCGTGTAGGAAAACCTGAAAATCACAATTGACATGTGCTGTGGATAACATGTTATAACATGCAACTTGCGCGGACCTAAAAATTTAGCTCCGTAACATTGTCATTAAAAAAGAAAAAGAAGAATGTGCAATATCCACATTTCGCTGTGGCGAAACAATGATTCTTGACATATGGATCAATGAGAACCAAGATACTCTGCAGAAACCTAGGGCCCCGAGCGTATACATATATTACTGCATATATATATATATATTACTGTTTATATATCTTTATATACATACACATATATTACTGTATACATAATATATATATATATATATTATTGTTTACTACATATATACCATTGTTTACATAATATATAATATCTATATACTATTATATATGACTATACATTACGGATTACTACATACAATGTCGAATATATGTCATATCTGCAGCAGGCTGTGACAAGACGTGACTTTTCGATATACATAACATACCTATAAATACCTAGGTACTTTGGCAGCTCTGTTTGGCGGTGGCTTCGCTTTTTTGGGTCTCTTGCCTTTGGTGCGTCCAGCAGTTCTGGGCGTCAGCATCTGGAGCCAAGTCTTTGGCAGTTTGACCTTCTTTCCAACGCTTCTCTGGTGGCGCAATAATGAGTCTTGGATCTTCATAGATCTTCATAGATCTTCAGCTGGGATTCGTTTAGAATCTTATAACTTATAACCCATTTTTGGATACAATTTCAAGTGCAGTGTGCATATCAACTGCATATCAACTGCATATCAATTGCATATCAACTGTGTATCATGTTTTGTTCTTTTGGGGAATCCTTGACGCTCCAAGGAGCGAGTCTTCCTAGACTGCTGCTGCATTGATCAGAGAAGCGCCCAGAAGAAGGCGCGGAGGGCTACAGTTGTCTTGATGAAACTTGCAGATGGTGAGTTTGGTAATGTCAAAGCGTGATACAGTTGCAAAAAGGATGATCAATTCACATATGCAAATGAAATTAATGAAATTTTAATGAAATTAAAGAAACTAATGAAATTAATGAAACTAATGAAATTAATGAAATTATATAATGAAATGGTGTTTTACTATGTTTTATTGTTTTATGGTGTTTATGAGTTTTATGGCGTTTATGTGCACATCGGTGGAGCCATAAACCCGGTTCATCAGGTCATGGCTCTGAAGAGCATGGCGGGCATCTTGAAACAATCACAGCGATTGCTGGTGATATGGGATCCGACCTATGTCCAAAGGTGCAGAAGTAGGGCTAAGATGGGCTAATATGGGGTAAGTAGGGAGTGGAAGGGCTTTGGGATGCAGAAAAAGAAAGGAACGAAGGAAAGAAAAGGTAAGAAAAACAGCATGCCTGCCTCAGTATACATTTGATTGACAGCTGTTGAGTTATTTTTTTTTGTGTGTGTGTGTTTTTTCTGTATCACATTCCATTTGTGTTTGGAAGATCTGCAGGAACGTCTCCGTTGCAGGTTTTGTTGCGTCTTTGAGTTGGCGGCTTTCTTGAAGAGTCACAACGGGCCTGAGGAAGTGAGGATTAGACCTGCGCTTTTGTGCCCATTTGCCTTCGTTATCACCTGCAGTTTATTGGTTTTGACCCTAGCAGTCTCTATTTTGACGGCCTATGACATCAGGGGTTTGGATGCCACCCTCTGTACTGGCCTCGCCGTACTTCTGGTGATGTATTGTGCTGCCTCGGAATGTCGGAGTTACTTCCGTTCATTGGAAATCTTCGGTCAGCAGATGACGAATCTTCAGCTTGACAAAACTGCATGCTGGTGCTGTTCCGTAAATCACAAAACCAGCTCTGGCGCAACAGTACCCTGCGACAGGGAAGCTGCTCGGCGATGAATCTAAATGGTTAAACAGAAAGTTTCTTTATGACCAATGGGAAGCAACAAGTGCAACAAGTGCAACAAGTGCAACAAGTGCAACAAGTGCATCAATTTCAAGTTTTGGTGAAGTTTTTTGTCAAGTTTTCGGCAGAGAGCACTTCTTCCCCCAAGGTGGTGTCCGAGTGTTTGCGGGCTTGGTTCGGAAGTGTGGAAGAATGCGAAGTCACTCTGAAAGCCCTGGGAGCCGATGGATTGACTGATCAACTGGGACGGCTGCTGATTCCGTTCCAACTTATACTTTCTTGCACTTCACCTATACTGTGGCTTTGTGTCGATATGGCTGTGTCATACTATGCCTCAGATTCAGTATCATCTGCCAAACATTGGCTTATTGCCAGCATCGGATATTGGCTTGGCTCCACACCGACCACCGCAGCCTGGTTGTTTTGGGTGGCCAGAAAGTGTTGGAAACCGAAACATCCAGGCGTCGACAGGAGCGGGGTGCAGAGTGGATTGCGTGATCTTGTGTGTGTGTGAATGTCCACAACCTGCCACAACCCCAAAGTCCGACAGTTCATGGATGTTTTTGCCCGACAATTTGCATACACGTTTGCTCCAGTCACCACCCTATTTTCTGTCAAGCCGTAGACTTGTTTGCAAGATACCAACTACAACATGCTGGGCCTTGACTTCCACACCAGACAGTTCCAGAATACAATGACTCAATTTGCCCCTCAGTTCCAGCATCCATAACATCTACAAACATCTATATATAAGGTCGAACTTAAGGTCTATAAGATTCTGTAAGCATCTTAAAATTTGATCGGCCAGGCTGATGTCCTTCTTGGTGTTGGCGGCCATTCTGCCCGTTTTTCTGGTTCTGTTCGGATTTCCAGCCTTTTTGGAAAATCAACACTTGATGCCCTCCTGGGCAAATGTCACCAGCAGCACGTGCATCCTATCTCTTTTGGGAATGACAACCTGGTTGGGAGCAAAGGCTTGTGATGGACAAACGACCATACGAAGCATCAGATGACATCAGATGATCTTGGACAATGTCATGGAATGTCATGGCTAGTATCCACTGGTGCTCCTGTTCTTCAAGCGTAGACAATGGCCATTATGGATGAGGACAGGTTTGTAGTGCAGGTTCCCTATGGTGTCTTTGCTGTCAGTTAGTTTCTGCAAAGCAGAACTTCAAGCTTGCCATCGATGCTGCAGTGGAAAATCTGCCAAGTGTTCTTTGAATTCTCTGTGGATAAGCTCCGTGACAGCGTCCTCATGATCAAGTTTGAGGATCATGCCAGTTGATGCAAGTTGGAAAGGATGTAACTCCGATATCAAGAACTCAAGACTGCCTTAGCCAAGACATGGCTCCAGGCGTGAATATCATGAAAGATCAAGAAAGCCATTCAGGTTTTTTGTGACACAAAGTTCATTGATGTTCGTTGTGTTGTGACCAACAATGGGCGGGGAGACATGTTTCAGATTGGGAGGGTCGTTGTCGTTGTATTTGAGGTCTTCCTGGAAGCTTGCCAGAATCACTACGCAACTCGACAGTCTTGGTTGATTCCGAGTGTGTTGAGATTCGAATGTGTTGGACAAGGTTACCAGCACTACAATGATATACAATAATCATTACCATGCAAATCCATCCAAATCCATCCAATACTCTCGAAACCCGGAACCCTAACGGATGAAGATGAGGGAACCAACCCATGCATCAGGGAAAGGTGGCAGTCTACGCTTGTGGTACTCTCTAATCAAAAGCTGCACCGGTGTCAAGTGTCTCATGATCACAGATTAGAGTGATTATATATAGAGACTATGTAGATATGTAGTGATTATACAGAGATTCGAGTGTATCTTTTGATCTGTGCTGAGGCCATTCTTCAGCCTACATCGCTTGAGAAGTCTCGAGAGATGCAGGTGGATGAAGTCGTTCAGGCTCAGATTTGCTCGGGAGTGGAAGAGATTGGAAGCCAGACACTGGAGCCCTAATTGGCCCTGATCTGTTTGTACTCCTCATGTTGTCATATGTTGTTATGGTATGTTATTTTTTGATTTCTTTCTATATTTGGAATTTAATGATCTCTGCAAGCTCCATAGGTGTTGTTCTATTTTGTGAAAACATGCTAACCGACATGTTGTTTTTGCAATGCCATGATTTGCCGAGTAATTCAAGACATTTCTCCAATGTTTCACTGTTTCACCCGACGCAATGCCCCCAGGTACTTGAAGTCAAGGAAGAGACATCTCCCAACGAGCAGCGGATGAAAGTGAGGTGCGAAGCTGCGCCCAATTGCGCCTAGCTTTTTGTGTGGCTTCCTGCCATGATCGGCTCCAAATGATGTTGGATTTCCATGACTCAGGGATATTCAGGTAGATCTGGGTTTATGACGTGTGGTTGTGGGTTCTGTTCATCGGAGCTGAGCGAAACCCGTTTGGCATTCTTAGAGTTTTTGTCCTTTGTGCGTCAACATCTTGGTTGGACAGGAACTTGGCACGAGGTCACAGTGGTTGGATATCGGTCAACCCAAAGTTTATAAAGCCGCCGCCTGGCTGAACCTTGCACCGCTTCTCCATGCTGCCGCTCTGCCGATTCTTCACATTTCTTCAATTTCTTCCGCACGACATCCTCATGTTTCTGCATGTTTCTGTATGTTTGCATTCCAGGTGAGAACAAATCTATGCAAATCTGAGATATTCCGGTTTCATCCGGTTTCCTTTCCAACATATCACCATCACCATTGTTAAGAGTGGTAGGTCAGAGACTTCACCTCCAAATGATGTAATTAAGTCAAAGCAAGTACTGATAAGTAATTATACTGTAGTTTGCAGATGTTTGCACTTTGAGAACTTTGAGGTGGTCGAAGCAGTACACCGCGCGTGTGCCGCAGAGCCTGAAAGACGGCGCTGAAGTATTACGAGAGGCGTCGAACGCGCTGTGCATCGCTGCGCCATGTCGAAAAACATCGAATAACGCCTGGTTTTGTCGTTTTGCCTTGAGAAAACAGGTTTGCCTTGGCAAAAAAAGGTGGTTCAGACTTGCGCTGACAGGTGGCCAAAGGCGAGCAATTTCAAGCCCTAGGATTGCCAAAGAGCGAAGATGGCATGCTGAAAGTGAGAGTCAAAGCAAAGAAAGTCACCTGGATTGCAGTGAGTTGCAGGATCTTGACTTTGACTGTAGCAAAATTATGCTCAATACAGACATGTAGTCTGTGAGAAAGACATACAGGTCAAGCGAATTCAAAGGACATGATGATATCGTATTTAAAAGACTGACGCACACAGACGTCGCAAGGGCCTTGGTTCTTGCCTCGTAATGCAAGTGTCAGTGTCGGGATACGACGCGTCGACATGCCAAAACGACCGTCGACATGCCAAAGGGTTGTCCCCGCCGACATGCCAAAACAAGATTGTCTCCGTCGACATGCAAAAAAGATTGCCTCCGTCGACATGCAAAAAAATGCTCCCGTCGACATGCCAAAGGAGATTGTCTCCGTTGACATGCAAAAAAATGTTCCCGTCGACATGCCAAACAAGATTGTCTCTGTCAACATGCAAAAAAGATTGTTCCCGTCGACATGCCAAACAAGATTGTCGCCGTCGACATGCGAAAAAATGTTCCCGTCGACATGCAAAAAAATGTTCCCGTCGACATGCCAAACAAGATTGTTGCCGTCGACATGCAGAAAAGATTGTTCCCGTCGACATGCAAAAAAAAATCCCCGTCGACATGCCAAAGAAGATTGTCTCCGTCGAAATGCCAACAGAGTGGTCGTCGATATGCCGACATGCCAAAATCCGTCGTCAACATCCCTGGAGTTGCCTCCGTCGACATGCCAAGGGTTTTGTCCGTCAATGTGCCAAGGGGTCCTGCCCGTCCGCATGCCAAACCACCTCCTTTAATGGCAGAATCATTCGTCAACTAAGTCCGTGAGCCATCTCTGTCCTTACGGATAGGGGTTGTGTCCTTCAAAGAAGTTAATTTCAAAGATGTTTTTTTGTGTCGTAAGTAGCATCAGAAATGTTGCCAACCCAGGTGTGCAAGCCAGAGAGACATGTTTGATAAGCAACATGTGGGGTGAAGGACTAGCCGTGCGCAGAAGCACTGGCTCAATCTATGTGACGACAGCAGAATGTCGACAGGGTTGTTCCCGTCGACATGCCAAACAAGTTTGTCTCCGTCAACATGCCAAAACGGTGTCCGTCGATGTGCCAAAATGATGGTGTCCGTCAACATGCCAAGAATTTGTGCCCGTCGACAGGCCAAAACAGCGTCCTATAGCGTTACAGTCCTTAAACCTTGAAACTTCCGCCACTCGCCTCGCGCGGGTTCTACTTGTACTTTTTCACAAGGCTTATATGTTGCATTATTGCTCCACATCGCCTCTCTGAAATTTTATCGGCATTATTTCTGACAATATATCTGGCATTCTACCGGGCAATGTCTCGCTTGTGACTCCAAATTCCGCCCGCTTGTGACTCCAAAGTCATTTCGCCTGTGACTCCCAAATCATCATCATCAACATCAACATCATCATCATCATCGTCATCATCATCATCAGCAGCATCATCATCATCAGCATCAGCATCATTATCATTGTTGTCGTCATGGTCATGGTCATCGCCGTCATGATCCTCAACATCTTGGTCATCATCACCGCCACCATCATCATCATCATCATGATCGTCATCATCTTCACCGTCATCATCATCATCATCATGATCACCATCATGATGATGATCATCATCAAAGACGAGCCAGAAGAAGATCTGATAGCGGGGCATCATGTCGGCGTGCAAGTACAAGAGAAGATCTCATAGCGTAGCAAATGTGTGGAAGCACAAGAGAAGATCTCAGAGCGGTACTGGGTTGCGCGTTTGTACTTGCTGAACTTCAAGTTGTTTATAAGTTGCTCATAAGTATTCTGTACCATGGCTGTACTAACTACAACTTCGATAAGTATACTTACGGGAAGCATGGGCTTAGGGTAAGTTATAAGATAGATACTGTAGATATAACAACTTATAAGTAGTTATAACTAAAATAAGTTTTCAGGTGGATTTTTCCCTTTACAAAAAATGCAAAACCCGAAAACTTATATAAGTTATGAAAACTTATTTTTTTCTTGCAAAAATTCTAAACTTGAAAATTATACCCTTTTTCTTAGTTTTTCTGTCAAATTTTCGATACCACGTGAAAAATCAATATCGTCGCGTTGCTCACTGGATCTGATGCGCAGCTTCTGTTTGCATTTGTTGTTTCATTTTGGTGGCGCAAAGCATTGCGAAAACGATTTTCCACAGGAAAGTGTGTCAGTGCGGTTCATTGGGACCGCAAGAGCACGGCGGTTAATAGACCGCTGGCGAGAGCAATGCCTTGCTTTTTTGTAGTACTCTATACGCTTATGTTGGTTGCAACTTTGGTTCAGCTCATGTTGACTGTGTATAGACGCAATTTCAGCCATGCGGTTGCAAGAACGGTTGCAGGCTTTGACGCATTACCTAAAGATCTTAATGTATCTTTAGGTATCTTTAGGTATCTTTACGTATCTTTATGTATCTTTCGAAACTGGTTGAAAAGATACATAAAGATACGTAAAGATACGTACGTATCTTCCGGAACGGTTTTGAAAGATACATAAAGATACAAAAAGATACGTACGTATCTTCCGGAACGGGTTGGAAAGATACATAAAGATACGTAAAGATACGTCAGAAACAAAAAGATACATAAATTAAGATACATAAAGATACGTAAAGATACATAAAAATACAAAAAGGTACATAAAGATACATGAAGATACGCAAAGATACATAAAGATTCAAAACAATATATAGTGCGATTTGGGTACAATGGAAAAAACTTGGGGAGCTGAAACCAAAAGAGAAATCACATTCAACCAGCTCGTGCGATTGATTTTCGATGTTGGTCTTGTATGTTTGGCGGATCTTTGGTCCGCCGATGGCGGCTTTGTGGCCGCCTTTGTTTGCCTGCATGATTAGTGCGGAAAGGCTGTCCGCAATTTAAATTATCATGTTTCATCGTCTATCTTGCAGTCCTCTGGGTCGCAAAGATGCGGTCCTCTGGACCGCACAGCTTCCAAACACGCGAAACTTCATGCAAAACAATGAAACATGTTAAAAACCAAAATTTTGAAAACCTAAAAACTTATATAAGTTATAACAACTTATTTGAACTTACTTGTATCGAAGTTATGGAACATGCTTGTTTTCAAGGAAAACATAAGTTCCATAACTTCGATAAGTTCACTTATATGTGCTACAACTGCTATAACTACCACAACTTACTTATAACTTCCGCAAGTACAAAGGGGCTTCCCAGTAGGATACAGTCCCTGTGCCGGAAGCCGAACGACGTGAGCACATCCCACCCCACCCCGCCCCCCCCAGGCCAGAGCCAGAAGAAGATCTGATAGCGTGGCACCATGTTGGTATGCAAGTACAAGAGAAGATCTCACAGCGTAGCATATGTGTGGAAGCACAAGAGAAGATTTCATAGCGTTAGGCTATAGAGAGTCCCTGTGCTGAGAACCGAAAGGCGTTATCAAACTCCACCCCACCCCACCGCACCCACCAACCCAAGATGATGATGATGATCATCATGATGATGATGATGACGATGATGACGCAAGTGAGGGGTCTTCCGAGACACAAGTGAGACAGAGACAGGAAAAATAGTAAAGTATAGTAAAGTGTTAAATAGTAAATGCGCCCGCCGACATGTCAAAATGACGGCTCGCGATGCAAAAAAGTAGCCTGGAAAGGACAAATAGTAATGTGTAAAATAGTAAATGTGCCCGCCGACATGCAAAATGCGCCCGTCGACATGTCAAAATGACGGCTCGCGATGCAAAAAAGTAGCCTGGAAAGGAAAAGTAGTAAAGTGTAAAATAGGACATGCACCCGTCGGCATGCAAAATGCGCCTGTCGACATGTCAAAATGACGGCTCGCGATGCAAAAAAGTAGCCTGGAAAGGAAAAATAGTAATGTGTAAAATAGTAAATGTGCCCGTCGACATGCAAAATGCGCCCGTCGACATGTCAAAATGACGGCTCGCGATGCAAAAAAGTAGCCTGGAAAGGGAAAATAGTAAAGTGTAAAATAGTAAATGTGCCCGTCGACATGCAAATTGCGCCCGTTGACATGTCAAAATGACGGCTCGCGATGCAAAAAAGTAGCCTGGAAAGGAAACATAGTAAAGTGTAAAATAGTAAATGTGCCCGCCGACATGCAAAATGCGCCCGTCGACATGTCAAAATGACGGCTGGCGATGCAAAAAAGTAGCCTGGAAAGGAAAAATAGTAAAGTGTAAAATAGGAAATGCACCCGTCGACATGCAAAATGCGCCTGCCGACATGTCAAAATGACGGCTCGCGATGCAAAAAAGTAGCCTGGAAAGGAAAAATAGTAATGTGTAAAATAGTAAATGTGCCCGTCGACATGCAAAATGCGCCCGTCGACATGTCAAAATGACGGCTCGCGATGCAAAAAAGTAGCCTGGAAAAGAAAAATAGTAAAGTGTAAAATAGGACATGCACCCGTCGACATGCAAAATGCGCCTGTCGACATGTCAAAATGACGGCTCGCGATGCAAAAAAGTAGCCTGGAAAGGAAAAATAGCAATGTGTAAAATAGTAAATGTGCCCGTCGACATGCAAAATGCGCCCGTCGACATGTCAAAATGACGGCTCGCGATGCAAAACAGTAGCCTGGAAAGGGAAAATAGTAAAGTGTAAAATAGTAAATGTGCCCGCCGACATGCAAAATGCGCCCGTCGACATGTCAAAATGACGGCTCGCGATGCAAAAAAGTAGCCGGGAAAGGAAACATAGTAAAGTGTAAAATAGTAAATGTGCCCGCCGACATGCAAAACAAAATGACGGCTCGCGATGCAAAAAAGTAGCCTGGAAAGGGAAAATAGTAAAGTGTAAAATAGTAAATGTGCCCGTCGACATGCAAAATGCGCCCGTCGACATGCCAAAATGATGTGTGCCCATGGACATGCCAAAAAACGACGTCACTGCGGCCGTCGACATGCCAAAATGTGCCCGTCGACATGCCAAAATGACGCCTGTCCCCGTCGACATGCCAAAAACGATGTAACTGCGGCCGTCGACATGCAAAAACGACGTGCCGCGATGGCAAATGTTTATATTGCGGGAAGGTTTTTATTTTGCGGGGCGTTTTTTTTGCATGTTGACGCGTGGTATCCTGTCAGTGTCCCATGATGACAGTTGTAATTGACTTAAGTTCGACTCATCTTTCAAAGATCGTTCAAACATTGTTCAAACAATAAAGCGATACAAAGCATTGAATAAATTGGGCTTCAAAGCGTTGAAGTCGGGTCTTAGGGCCTTTCGGATTGGGGACGCCGAGGATGGTATCGCGGGCTCGCTCCTCGTCCAGGACAAGCAACAGCTGCTTGATTTCTGAGCGAAAAAGGAGGATGCGACGTGGTCCGAGAATGTCCGAAGTGGTTGGTTAACGGAATCCAATGTTGGCCAACGCCACATGCAGATTCAAGGCATCCAATGGCGTCTCAGCCTCGTTCTAAGGTCTCACAGCATATATATACCCAAGAATACTCTGTAGATCTCTGTAGAACAAATATCCGAATATTGAAGGAAAGCCAAATGGCTGTAGGATTAGGAATCGCATGGAATGGCTATGGCTGACATATCGTTTGCATTCTTTTGCCTTCTCAATTGCACTGCGCAGACACGGCCCGAGATCATCGGCACTGTCTCTGCTGATCAAGAGGCACCCCGTCCCCCCCGTCTGACCCTAAAAAATTACTTTACTTCGTGTGATCCCCACCATGACATTTATACATTTTCTTACTGGCAAATCTTCTGGCATTCTATCTGACATATCTTCTGACATTCTATTTGGCATTCTATCTGGCATATCTTCTGGCATATGATCTGGCATATCTTCTGGAATATCTTCTGATATATCTTCTGATCCCCAATTCTAATTTTCTGGCTCCTTTATATCTGCACTATATCTTATGGCATTCTATATGGCATTCTATCTGGCATATCTTCTGGCATTCTATCTGACATATCTTCTGGCATTCTATCTGGCATTCTATCTGGCATATATTCTGACATATCTTCTGGCATTCTATCTGGCATTCTATCTGGCATATCTTCTGGCATATCTTCTGGCATTCTATCCGGCAAATCTTCTGGCATTCTATCTTTGTAACTTTCTTCTGCACATTCTTTGTCCCATATCTTCCTACATGAGGTCCGGCAGGGAACACTTGGCGTGGATACTCGCGGTTGAGGTCCGGCAGGGAACACTGGGCGTGGATGGTCGTGGTTGAGGTCCGGCAGGGAACACTGGGCGTGGATGGTCGTGGTTGAGGTCCGGCAGGGAACACTGGGCGGGGATGGTCGTGGTTGAGGTCCGGCAGGGAACACTGTGGATCGCAGGTCGCAGTTGGACGAGGACGACGAGGAGGACGAGGAGGACGAGGAGGCAAGGAGGACGACGAGGAGAGGAGGAGGAGGACGAGGACGAGGCAGGAGGAGGCAGGAGGAGAAGGCAACTGACATAAAATCTAACAACCCTCACCTGGCAGGTGGGGAAAAACATGTTCTCAAATTTAATCTTACTTGCCTTTTTCATGCATTTTTCCGACTTGTACCTTTTGTCTCTTCATCGTCAGTGACTTGCTCCCAAGAGTTTTGCTGTTTGCGCTCCAGGAATGCTAGCGT